AAAGACGAATAGTGCTGGCTAGCCATTTTGATAGACAAAAAGCTGGACTTCTTTGTCATTCCTTACATCAAATAAGTTTAAGGTGCATTTTAAAACACCAGGAAAAAAATAAATTTATATGTGATCTTGGAGTGGAAAAGAGTTTTCTGAATCTGTCTATCTACATATAGATGTATACACATACACACACACATAAATGGCCCCGCTATATATTTGTTTATGAACAACAACAACAAAAAACCAAAGTGCTTGGAAGGATACACACCAAACTTGACAGGAGTTATCTGTGGGGTGTGAAAATGAAGGGCAGAAAGTGAGATAGTTGCTTTCTCTCTCTACTCACCTGTGTGTGTCTGTGTATGTACACATTTATATATATATATATATATATATATATATATATATATATATATATTAACTAACACTAAGTTAATAACTAAGATTATAAATATATAATCTATTTTACGTATATTTAGACATTGGTATGTATTTGTTGGTATTTTTTTTACAGAGAAGGTACATATAGCCTGGCTGGCATGGCTCAGTGGTTGAGCAATGACCTATGAACCAGGAGGTCATGGTTTGATTCCTGGTCTGGGCACATGCCCAGGTTGTGGTCTCGGTCCCCAGTGGGGGGCATGCAGGAAGTAGCTGATAAATGATTCTCTCTCATCATTGATGTTTCTCTCTCTCTCTTCCTCTCCTTTCCTCTCTGAAACCATTTTTTTTAAAAAAAGGTACGTATAACAAAAATAAATTTTAAAAAATCAATATTGGTTAAGAATTTGAAGAACAAACTTGCTTTAAAATAATTTCAGATTTTTTTTTTGTCCAGACAAATCTCTCCCCAGGGTCCTGAAAGAATGTGAGAACTGGCTAAGTCATAGTCCAGGAAAGGGAAGACTCATTAAGCAGGCATTGTGCTGTTTAGTACAATAATGATTAGCGGAGGCTTGGAAAGGAAGCAACAATCACTAGAGGGAAGCAGAGCCAACTCCGAGTTCTGTCACTTGGACAACCTCTGTGACCTTGGACAAGGCACCTAATCTCCCAGAGCCTCAGCCTCTTCATTACAACACCATGGGGTTGTGTGAGCATCGAATGAAATGAGGCTAAAAATGCTTTCGAAGTGTAAAGGGCCATGCACAAATAAAGGTTTGCTATTCTTTTACAGGGTTATTACATTGATTCATCAGAGGATTGTGGCAGACCCAGTATATCTGTATGCAAACAAAATATTTGACACATTTCATTGCATATTTTAAGAAAGGTTGGAAAATGTGAGTCAGATGCTGGGATAATTGAGTGGGCTAGGAATTGCTGAATGATCATTCATTGGGATGCTGAATGAATGGCTTGATGGGAAATTTCTATTGGCCTAATATAGGATTCACTACACTCTGTATTTTACAAAGCTTTAATTTTTATCAAATTTGCAAGTGACATGAAGTTTAAGACAGAAAACTTATGAGAGACAGAAACATAATCTAAAATATCCCAGCAGGCCAAAACAAAGATTATTTTTCAAGATAAAATGTAAATAGGATAATTGTATCTAAATGATATAAAAATTTTGCAAACATTTAAATATTATAATTCCTAGAGTTAGCAGGAGTTTAGAAAACCAGGTAATTTCATATTGTCTTGATAAGAGTATAAATAGGCACACCACCAAAGGAAAATAGACAATGTATAAAATGGGCCTTAAAAATAAGCATATTCTTTGACACAAAAAACATTCTGGAAATGCACAAATTGTGTAAAATAACCTAACCAGAGATATCTATACAAAAGTATTATTAATGACTGGGAATAATTATCAGTAACATATACATCTAATAGTACAGATTTTATAAGTAAACTAGAGGCCTGGTGCATGAAAATTCATGCACTGGAGTGGGGTCCCTCAGCCCGGCCTGCACCCTCTCCAATCTGGGACCCCTCAGGGGATGTCCAACTGCTGGTTTAGGCCCGATCCCTGTGCCTAAACCGGCAGTCGGACATCCCTCTCGCAATCCAGGACCGCTGGCTCCTAACCGCTCACTTGCCTGCCTACCTGCCTGATCACCCCTAACCACTCTGCCTGATGGCCTGCTCACCCCCAACTGCGCCCCCTTGCTGGCCTGATTGCCCCCAACTTCCTCCCGCTGGCCTGATCACCCCCAACTGCCCCCCACTGCCAGCCTGCTTCCCCCAACTTCCCCTCTGCTAGTCTGATCACCCCCAACTGCCCTCTCTCCTGGCCTGATCGCCCCTAACCACCTCTGCATTGGCCCCACCACCATAGCTTAGTCTGGAAGGACGTTCAGAAGGTCTCCCAGTCTAATTAGCATATCACCCTTTTATTAGTATAGATCCGTGGTCGGTAAACCATGGCTTGCGAGCCACATGTGGCTCTTTGGCCCCTTGAGTGTGGCTCTTCCACAAAATACCATGTAGGGGTGTGCACGTACAGTGCGATTGAAACTTTGAGGCCCATGCTCAGAAGTTGGTATCTTGTGGAAGAGCCACACTCAAGGGGCCAAAGAGCTGCATGTGGCTCGCGAGCCACAGTTTGCCGAGCCGCAGTTTGCCAACCACTGGTATAGATGATGGTACTTACATAGCATGAAATACTATTTTGCAATGGTTCTCAGTGGGGGGTGATTTTGCCACCCCTCCCTCCCAAGGGACAATTGGCAAAGTCTGGAGACATTTTTGGTTATCATAACCTGCAGGGGGAGGGAGGTACTCCTGGCATCTTAAGGGGGAAGTCCAGAGGTACTGCCAAAAACCCTACAATATACAGGAAAGCCCCTCCACCACCGCCAAAAAAGAATCATCTGCCCTCAAATGTCAATAGTGCCAAGAAAGTCTTGAGAGAAACTCTACTATATAGTCTTTAAAAGTTACGTTGAGGCAGAATAGTTAACGATATAGGGAAATGTTAAAATATTTTGTAAAAAAGTTTAAAGTTATGAAATGCTGAGCAATTTCATGTGTGTGTGTGATAAGAATGGACTGCATTCAATGGTAATTGATGATAGCAGTGTTACGAGTGATTTTTCTTCTGCATTCTTTTCTGCATTTTTCAAAGTGTCTTATAACATGTATTACCTTGAACTTCAGTGAAGGAAAATATTTGATGAAGATTAATTTTCAAGGGTTGGTCTTTTCCATGAGCTGTGTGAAAAAGTTTTGATGGGTTTTGTTCATAATGAGTCTGCGGTCTTGGGCTAGATTAACCAAGATGCGTCTTATAAAATGTGGAATGAGGGACCCGTGGTCCTCTCCAGCCTGTGCTGGCCAGATCTCGCCTGGACTCTTGTGTTAAAGACTGGGCACCACATTTTATCAGTGTGTAGGAGTTGTATGTTTACACTGCACCTATTTATGCAGAGAAAAATGTGTTTTCTCTTGATTTAATAGAAGTGGTGATCTCAGTCTGACCCAATAAACTGAAAGTTCTCTTTGGGTAACTCTAGGATGACTCCCCAGGTAAATGTCCAGTCTTTCAGAGCTCCCCTCCTCCCTTCCACACAAGGTGTGGACAATGGTTCACTTGGGACAGTAAGGGAGAGAGGACCTAGTCCTAGACCTAGACCCACACCAGCTCCTGCAGATCCTCGCTCCCCCTGCTGGTCAATGCTGCACCCGGAGTGGTGGCAGCTGAGGGGCAGTCTGTCACTGTCTGCTGCTGAAGCCGGGAGCTCAGCCACCTTACTTCCTTCTCTAGTCCTGGTTGGGCACTACCTCATTCCTGCTGCTGGTGGATCTCTGGGGTCGGCCGGTGATCTCACAGGTCTGTTAAGCTCATCAGCCAGACTCTCAGCCAACTTTGGATTCGCTCTGTGGGGACACAGGAAAGTAGTCCTGGCCACGCAGGAAGCAGCTCTGCCTAGAGTTGAACTCAGCCCTCCCTGCTAAACTGGGTCACTCAGTTATTTACTTAGGACATGCTCTTTTTCATGTGCAATATTTTTTTTGGGAGGCACTGCTAAGGAAATGGGTGTTAGGGGGGAAAAGAAAGGCTGAACAGATGTGGGGATTGGAGATTAGGAAGTTGGGACATCGCACAAGAGCTCTCAAAACCTTCCATTTCACTGAACAGAGCCCCAAGCAGTGACACCCCCAGGAACTCCGTGGCTCCAATCCTCCCTCTCCATGAACCTGTCAGTGGGAAGGATGGAGACTATGAGGGAGGGGCCAGTGCAGGAAACAGGGCTGCACATTCCTGCAGGCAACTCCTCCACAGGCCACAGGACTGCACTGGCTGCTCAATACCAGGACCACTGCTGACAACCAAAGTCAGGGTAGCGGCGAAACACTGAGTGGACACATGTGGTGCTCAGGCTCTGGTGCATCGCTGGGCACAGGGCTGGTGTTAGCCACACAGGGATGCAGAAAGCAGGACTGGGGATGGTTAGGGAGATGTCACAGAAGCAGGAGGCAGTGAGGCACTGGAACAGAGTGCGGGCCTGGGGTGGAACTGTCCGCGGAGAATGGTGTGAAGGTGGGATGTGATTGTGGTTTGGGGCGAGCCGGTTAACAGATCCAACATCTGCACCCTGAGAATACCACCATGTCCCCCACTCCACCCCTTCCAGGCAGGGTGCAGAGCAAACAGCTTCCAAGTCCCCTCCTCCACTCCACTGAGGGGCTGGAAAAAGGGAGAGAAGACAGAAATAGCTGGAGAAAGAGAAATATGTAAACATTTCCAGGAAAACACACCAAGATTGAAACCACACTGACCCAGAAAAAGCTAATGCTTGCCCATCGTTGGCTTCAGCACCCCATTTTCCCTGCTCATGCTAAGGTATTTCCTTTCAATACTAGTTATTGTCCAACAGGACATTTTGTGGTCCGACTTCCTTATTCTGCTCTTCAATGATTGAATGGGGCCAGCACCCATGCCACCCACTTACCCTGGGTTGTGGCTCTCACCTCCTGGAGGACGTGGAACGGGGGAACACGAGCATCCATTCTTTGTTAGCACAAGCTCCGAGGAAATAACCCACAGCACCAAACAACTGGTTTAATTTTATTTCAAAATTGTACAAAATGGCCATACGTGGCTCTAAAAAACTTTGTCTTCAGACACATGGAAATTCAGAAAGAACAATAAAACAGATATCATTCACAGTGCAATGGAAAGGCTTTCTCTGAGGCAGAAATTACAACTCTTCTTTCTTCTTCCCTAGTCTCTCGTGATCTCCCTCCCGGAGGGTTCGAATAAAATTGGTAAATCCCAATTCCTGTGGGGAAGGGGAGCAGAGGAGGAAAAGAGGAATTTTAACCCCTGATGCAGATGTCATTCTCCCTCTCACTGCCCTTCTCTGACGCTCTGTGTACTCACTCTTCTGGGCAGAGAGACTGGCAGAACCCGAAGGGGCAGCTGGTGATGCAGGGTGGGTCTGCTTGTCTACGGAGAAGCCCTGAGAAGCGGGCAAGGAAACTCTCCCACCCCTTGGCAGCCCCCCAGGCTCTGGAGACAGGATTTCTATGACAACCCCCTGAGACCCTCTTCCAGCCAGGCCCAGACCCTTGCCTCTCAGCTCTGATGGGCCAGCTGAGCCTTGAGGCCTCCCTTTGCTGCCCCGCAGTGGCTGTTTCCCTGCCCATCAGCACAAAGAGCTCTGGGCAGGTTTCTCTCCCCAACTCACCGTCCGATCGCTGTCATATTTTTCTACAAACTTCCCATAGTGGTAGTAGTGGAAAGTGGGGTAGCCCTTGATGGCCTCCTGCTGACACAGGTCCTGGTTCTTCTCTTTGATGCAGTCAACAGCAGCGCAGCAGATCTACAGGGGAGAGAGGGAGGGTCAGCCCAGGGTCTCCAGTCCTGGAGCTGAGGCCTGGGCCTCCGCACACTGTGGCCCTTCCCCAACCGCAGGGAGGAGCTGCACCAGAGCACCCCCAGCCCGGAGCTCCCCGGAGCCTGGCGGTGCCTGTTTCCTATTTCCCACAGCCGGGTAAAGTTTGAGGGCCCGGCTTGGAGTGCCCTCAGACTGCCTTTTAAAATCAAGAGTACCGCAGCCCATTTGTACCCGCAGGTTTTGCATCTGTGGGGTCAACCAACTACAAATCAAAAATATTTGAACAAAGAAAAATCCCAGGAAGTTTCAAAAAGTGCAACTTGAATTTGCCACGTGCTAAGCTCTACGCTGAACCCACTGGAATGAAGTGATGTGTGGTGATCCCAAGGATACCGAGGGAGACGTCTGTATAATGACCACAAAGGAAACCTTGACGTGAAAGCAGTTGTAAACACAACAGGTTTTATGATACTTTCTAGGAGGCACTGTGGGATTCATTCATTTACCAACTAATATTCCTGAACATCTGCTTGGGAGGCAGTGTAGTTCCAAGGTTAAGAACAAGAGCTTTTTTTGTTTATTTTTAAAAAAGATTTTATTGATTTTTTACAGAGAGGAAGGGAGAGGGGTAGAGAGTTAGAAACATCGATGAGAGAGAAACATTAATCAGCTGCTTCCTGCACACCCCCCACTGGGGATGTACCTGCAACCAAGGTACATGCCCTTGATCGGAATCGAACCTGGGACCCCTTAGTCTGCAGGCAGACACTCGCTCTATCCACTGAGCCAAACCAGTTAGGGCAAGAACAAGAGCTTTGCAGTCCAGTTTCTCAAGTGTAAACCCTGGGTTGGCTGTATATTAATACTTTAGGAAAATGACCTCACCTCCTGTGTCTCAATTCCCATCAGCACAGGGCCCTGGCACATAGTTAGTGGTCAGTGAATGCCGGCTGTTGTTATATTCACTCCTATCGGCCCCATACACAAGCCCTGTTCCCGCTAGAAGCTCAGTGTCTGTTCAGATAAAGGGAGTCAGAGAGAGACACTCCCAAAGCTAGTTAGGGGGTAGGGTGGAGGTGGTCCCGGGCGCCAAGAGAGCGCCAGCGTGTGGAGCAAAGGCACTGTGCATGGTTGCCATCCGAGCCAGGCCTGAAGGAGGAGGAAAGAAGGTTGGTTCCAGCCAGGAGGGCACAGTCCAGAAACTAGAAAAAAGTTCAGCAGGACCAAAGCAAGCAGAGTTCTGGGTCAGAAAGAGGTTCCCAAATTCCACAAGCTGGGTAGTGTTTCCTTATTATTTATTGTTCTTTCAAAACAAGAGAGTCTAAGGCAGACACACAGAACGTTTTCCCTGTTCAGGGTCACAAAGCAGGGCAGGAGGGGAGAGGGCCCAGTGACGGCAACACGAGATACAAAAGCATCGCAGGGGAGCGGGGACGGATTCTGAGGCCAGGCGGCCTTGATCGAAGTCCCGCCATGTGTTCTAGATGCCAGGTCCAGGCTGACCTTGACAAAGTTCAGTCACTGAGCGACTGCTGCTCTCACTGCCAAGAGACACATAATAAGTGAGATCATTTTAGAGCCCAGTGCCTGCTCTGGAGGAATTAAAAGAGGGCGATTCGATAGGACAATAGCCAGAAGGGCTGCTTTTGCCAGATGGCCAAGGAGGCCTTCGTGAGGAGAGAGCATCTGACCTGAGCCCTGAGTGACGAGTGGGCAACCAGCTGCGTGATGAGCACCCAGATAGAGGCCAGCCCACACCAGAACCTGAGAAAGGAATGACCACGGGGTCTCTGAGAACCGAGCCCATTAAGGAATCCAGACTGAACTATCACCACAGCTTGAAGTGTTGAAGAACCACCACTCACACAGTTCTTCGGCTGCTGGCCACTGACATTTGAACGGAGGCTCCCTTTCCAGGTTGGAGAGCCCAGCAGGCCACCGACAGTCACATTTACTGGGTGAAGAGGGAGGTATGGCCTGCACTCTGGTCACCAGTGCGCCACACCTGTCCTCCCTCACCTGCCCTCACCCTGCTCTGCTTGCTACCTCTGTGGCTACACAACCTTCTCTACAGTACAACTTAATGGAGCAGAGTTTGCAAACTCACTGCACACAACCCCTATCTGGCTCTCATTCCTGTTCTATTTGGCCCACAGAGAATTAAAAAAAAAAATCTGAATTAGCTGCCAACCTAGAAAAAGAGCCAAAAGATTTTTATATCAAAGTTTGGCTCGCCAACTTCTCCTTAAAAGCCAGATTTGATGGCACTTGCCCTGCATTCTCACAGGCAACGCCTGGCTGGAGCAGAGGGCGGCTGTCTCCTTCAGGCGGGTCCAACCTGCCATTCCTGGCATCCACATGGAGCCCGATCCACCGGACCTGCAGGCCGGCCCCGGCAGGCTCCCGAACCCAGCTCACCCTCTCGAGTGCTTTCTGGGTTATTTAGAAACATGAAACAGATGCTCCTCTGGCCGGCTCTGGGTTCTGTTTCTCAGGGCAGGCAGGGAAGGGCCCCGCCCAAGGGAGACCCTACACCAGGGCTGGGCAGCTGTCCAGCCCCCCAGCCAGGGACCAGTGCTCCTCGCTATGCTGTGAAAGTGTTTGATGAGCGTTGCTCTGGGCTGCTGCTCTCCCTGCATCCACTTTAAATTATAAATTTAATTTGTATACATGCCCTGGAGCTGTGGGAAATGTAGTGTCTGATTTTATAAATCTGCTAAATTAAAAATGTGTTCTCATTCGAAATCACCTAAACTCACTGCCAGCCGCACACACAGAGGGCGGCATCCAGCTGCAAAGGCTCCTCCACACTCAGTTTCCACGGGAGATGAGGGCGGCCCCCTCGGAAGGAAGTGGCATGGACTCTTGGAGGAAGGCAGCAAGCAAGCCTTTCTCATCCCTCCCAACCTCACCTGCCTAACGCCTGCCCCTTCACGCCCACTCAGGATGTGCACCGAACTCACCCGCAGCACTGAACGTACACCTCTAACTTCCAGATCTGCTCCCTGGTAGTTAGTTGGCTGTCAGTGCCCGGCCGTGTTCCCTTGGCCCAGCCCTTGCCACTGTCAGAGAGCAGGAAGTATGGGCAGGGCTGAAGGACATATCCTCCTGGCAAGGTCTCTCCAGGAACAGCCTAGTTACCCATGAGGTAATCTGTTCATTAATGGCCCTGCTCTGGTTCCTTCCGTCTGCTCTCCCTTCCTCTATCCCCTCCCTCAGCAGCTTCCTGAGACCACCTCCCAAATACAAGCCCTGCAGTCAAGTCCAGGCCCCCACTGGCTTCTGGGAGAACTCTGACAATTCCTGTTTATTGGATTCTGACTCTGCTTCTATCCAGCTGGGTAACTCTGGGCTAATCACTTAAACTCTCTAAGAGTTGATCTTTGAATGGGAGGGTAATAATACCTAGTTGATTAAGCTACTGTGAGGATTACATGACATACGCTTTTAAAGTATTAATGGGAGGCCCAGCTGGCATGACTCAGTGGTTGAGTGTCAACCTATGAACCAGGAGGTCACGGTTCAATTCCTGGTTGGGGCACATGCCCGGGTTATGGGCTCGATCCCCAGTAGAGGGCATGTAGGAAGCAGCCTATCAATGATTCTCTGCCATCATTGATGTTTCTATCTCTCTCCTTCTCCCTCTTTGAAATCAATAAAAACATATTTAAAAAAATAAAGCATTAATGGGTGAGGTACTCCCAAGAAATGTCAAATACGTTATAGTTCCTTGATTCAATCAACACTTACAGAGGTCTCAGGAGTAAAGACTGCAGGGAATTCAAGGACAAATGAGGTCCCTGTCCTCAAAGAGCTTTTCCTTCTGATGGGCAGACAGTTTTGCAAACATGGGGTGAGGGGAACTATATACAACAGAGTCACAGCAGCCTCTGAGCCCATCACAGAGGAAGGGATGCCTCCTGGGATGACCCTCATACCTGGCCAAGAGCTGCACTGCGAGCCCTGCTCCACCACCAGGCTGGGCACACCTTGATGCACAGTGAGACGAGGCCCACCTTGCAGCCCAGTGGTCCCCTGACCTCTGCCTGTGTCCACCAACCTTGCACCTCGGATCCCTGTCCTCCATGGCCCCTGCCATAATGCCATCCATCCCAACACTAACAGTGTGCAGCCCTTTCTCCCCTCAGCCTGCCCACTGCTAAAGTCCCCCAGTAAGCTCCTGGGAAGGGGTGGAGGCTCCCCAGCTAAAATATGAGCTGCCTCACATGGCTTTATTGATTCAGTAAAATAAATCTCTGCAGGAGCTAATATTGACTTTGGCTATGAAAATGGAAGTGAGCGACCAGCTGCATATTGATTGGGGAAGAAACAGGGTCCAGCTTCTGGGTGGAAAAAAAATACAATTCCGGCTAAGAGGTGGATGTCAGAAGACCCAGTTCTGGCTGCAATAACCCACTGGGCACTCCACGGCTCCTCTCTGGGCCTTGGCCCCTCATGAGTAGAAGGAGAGAGCTGGACAGACCCGTGGTCATCAAATGCCAGCCTGTGGTCAGCACGAGAGCCAGCGGTTATGAATCACAAGTCCTGGAACCATCCCTAAGAGTCTGATTTGATAGCTCTAGGATGGCGCCCAGCAATGGGGCACTAGTAACATCGGTCCCCCAAGCCAGAGAGACAGATGCTTCCCTGAGGTTACTGAGAGCCACCTCCAGGAGCCCCATGCCTGGAGCGGCCTGGCACAGAGAGGTTACGTGTGCTTCTGAAACGAGGGGATTTCTGGCTTGGAATAAAGGAAGTTGGAAGGAGAGACAGAGGGAATGAGCCCAGAAAAAGGCCAGCAACATCACTGGCCCGCGTGAAGACAACTAAGCAAAAGGTGTATCAGTGTCTCAGAGAAGGAGGGGTCACCATGAAAATGGGGCTCCTGTGCATCAGTAGAGGGGAAAGGGGAAGAGGAGGGCTGGCCCTTGGCTGGCTGTGGGCACAGTCAGCCTGGCCTTGTCACAGACCTGGAGCCATGGAGACCCAAGCAGCCACCCGGGGGTAGGGCAGTGGGGGAGACCTCATACCCCCACCACGCTCCGGTGTCCAGAGCACAGATTGCTCTCCGGAGAGCAAAGGCTTCCCCATACAACCCAAAGCCCAGAGTGAGGGTGCCCTGCAGGGATGGGCCCTCCAGAGCGGGAGCAGCCGTCCTGACGAATGCACAGGCCTCAGTGCAGAAACGGGATAGGTGGTGCGGGCGACGGGAGATGGGAAGCCCTTCCTGCCATGTCCCTCTCAATGCAGGCCAAGTGGCAAGAGCAGGAGAAAATGGTTCTGGTCCTATACCCCCTACGGGAGGGGTGAGGTGTACCTTCAAAGGCACAGCCAGGACTTGTGGGTGACGATGGGACTCCCTAAGTCTAGGGCAGGGTGCTGGGGTCTGAGTCCCCAGTGTGTCCCCACTCTCCACACATGTGCCTGTGCCCCAGCCTGGCTTCCTCTCACTTGCTGTCCCTCTAAGCCAGTGGTCCTCAACCTTCTGGCCCTTTAAATATAGTTCCTCAGGTTGTGACCCAACCATAAAATTATTTTTGTTGCTACTTCGTAACTGTAATGTTGCTACTGTTATGAATTGTAATGTAAATATCTGATATGCAGGATGGTCTTAGGCGACCCCTGTGAAAGGGTCGTTCGACCGCCAAAGGGGTCGTGACCCACCGGTTGAGAACCGCTGCTCTAAGCTCTCCCCATCCTGTTACTGCCCCTCTCGCAGGGCTGACTCAAGGTGATCCAGGCAGGCATCAGTGTCCAGCAGCCCCCACTTAGCCTGAGGCTTCTACAAGGAAGATGAGGCCCCACGGCAGAGATGCATGACCTTGGATTGGGTGTGTGGGGGTGCGTTTCTGGGACCCACCAGGGGACAGGTTCCTATGACGTTGTCCCACGCTGGGAATGGTCATGTTCATCTAGACCAGCATGCCAACTTTACAGAGGAGGGAACTCACAGCCTGGAGAGCTGATGGACTTCTCCCAGGTCACACAGGTTAGCAGCAGCTAAGCCGCACCATCCTGAGTTCCAGGGTCTTCTCCTGGCCACACAACCCCTCGGCCCAGGGCCACACACCACCCTCACCAGGCAGCAGGTGGTAGCTTGTCCTGCCCTGCCTGCTGGAGCTGCTGGGGGGATATGCCTGGGGGGCCCCCACTCCCCGAACACTAATCCAATCTGCAGGTCTAGCTTGTTAATTTTATGCTTCATCAGTCAGCCGCTGCAGGAGCCTTCCACTGACGAGGCTCCGTAGGCAGAGCCTGCTCTCCTCCGCCCTGGCTGCCTGTAGTCAACTTTTGTTGAATTTTTTTATTTGTATTTTTGATTATATAAGTAATGCACGACTACAGATCCTACTATAAAAAGGTTCAAGCTCTAAAAAAATAAACAGATAACCCTCTTCTATCCTCTCCTCCAAGGAAGGGCTGCAATGGCTCAGTGTATCCCTTTTGGTTGATTTTGTAGCATAAATTCAGCAGCTCTATCCTGCCTTATGAAAAGAGAATGTCCCGGTTCCCAGGATCCCCAGGTCTCAGCAGATCCTATCTGGGAAGGGGACTGAATGGAAAGGAGGAAGGTGTGGGAATTGGAGACCGGGCAAAGTTGGAGGCAGGACAAGAGATGAAGAGGAGCACCCATACCTTTCGGTCATCTTTGAAGACGTTCGCAGTGGAGGTGAAGTATGGAATGACCTTCTTACAGTGCGGGCACCCTGTTGAGAGGGAGAGAGAGTGTTACACATGGGGGGAGGCTGCAGAGCCAAAGCCCTTCCCAGGACCCCCAGAGAGGCCTTTCAGGGAGTGTCTCTCACTTAATAGACTGTGGGGCTCCTCTGACTCCCACCACCTGCACACCCGACCGTCAGGGCCCATGTATCAACCCTGCCCCTCAAACCACCATCCTGTGTGTCTGCTGTTGGCATGAGGGCTTTGTCGGTGCCCTGTGCAAGCGGCAGGCCCACGCCTGCCTAGGACCTCCCATCCCACAGTTACCTTAGAGCAGTGGTTCTCAACCTTCCTAATGCAGTTCCTCATGTTGTGTTGACCCCCAATTTCATTGTTACAAATTGAACATAATTAAAGCATAGTGATTCATCACTAAAACAATATGTAATTATATATGTGTTTTCCGATGGTCTTAGGCGACCCCTGTGAAAGGGTCGTTCGACCCCCAAAGGGGTCGCGACCCACAGGTTGAGAACCCCTGCTTTAGAAGGTGATGTGTGCTCAGGATTCTCTGAGCCTGTTACAAAGCCCCCTTCTCTTGCAAACCTCTCCAATTCATGACTGAGAAAGTAGGACTAGGAAAGGAAGGGGTGGAGGTGGAGGTGGCACAGGAGTAACCACGCTGCCTGAGCCCCTGCTATTTCCGCTTTGGGGCTCACTTCCACATTCTCAGTAACCTCTACCCTCACCCCAGACCGAGCTGCCAAACCAGCTCCTGGTCCTCATGCTGTCCTTCTACCCTTCGCTCTACAATCCATCTGAACCTGGGATCCAGGAACGGGAAAGCCAAGGTCAGGCTAAGAGGACAAGCTGCACGGGGTCCTTAGGTTCCCAATCCCAGGAAGAGGCCCACCAGTGTAGACAAGGACCTGTGACTCCAGCGGCCCTGTAGGGGACAGGGGCGTGCACACAGCCCCTCAGGCTCTGACGACAGCATCTCAGACATAGACTGCACCTGTGTAGGGCCACTTTGTCCTTCTAGCCCAGTGAATCCAGGGCAGCATCCACTGAGGGGAGAGTCCGGGAAGATGCAGGCACTCTTGCCCAGACTCACTTTCTTGGCCCTTCCCTCAGCACCAGCAGATCAAAACCCAAGCCCACCTCCTCTTTCCACCATTGTCCAGACACTGAACACATGCCGAGAGCGAAATGCTTTCAGCGGAAGATCTCCCTGATGGTGGTAATTAATTCTCATCAAAACACAGGTGGGAGAGGCAAGATGCCCTGGCTCCAGCCAACTTCCTGACAGACAGCTGGGCCAGCCCTCCAGCCCGCACTAGGCCTGGGGGGAGCCAAGGTGGCGAACAGAATGGCTCTGCTCATCTGCTTTCCCTCTTTTAAAAATAAGATAATAATGATTGGCATTTCAAAGGGTTTTGTGAAACCAAATTAAGCCTAAGCTACACTTTAGTCTGCAGTCAGCACTTGAAGGGCTCCCGAGATGGGCAGGACCACCCCTGTGGCCTGGCTGGTGGACTGGCCAGCTGGCCCCAGCACAGTGTGGTCCGTGATAGGGAGGAGGCTTAAAGGGATCTTCCATCCTCTGGCCCAGGAGTAGAGAGGAAAGCTAGGCTGGTTATGGGTTACATCAGAACTAAATGAGACGAAGTGCCTAGCACGGCCTAACTCATGGCAGATACTAATAGATGTTTTTTAAATTGCCTCAATGGCAAATACAGGAATACTTCACTAATGTGACTCAACAGAGGTAAGAATAGCTCAAATTCATGAAAATTTCAGATTATGAAGACATGACAGTATACAGTTTTTAAAACATTTATAGAGCTGAATGTATGTGCTGGTGGACAAGGCTTATCCAAGTTCACCCTAGGTCACCTAGAGGTCCCTCATGAGTGGCCTGGATGCCTGCTAATAGCATCAGGCTGGCCAGGAATAAGCTACCCTCTTCCCCCAAATCTGGTATCACTAATTGTTCCTTTCTAACTTCTCTGCTTATGGAAAGTATAAAGGTAACTGGCGGCCTAGTGCAAACTCCTATTACCATCAATTTAAAGTCTCTAAGTCTCAGATTAATGGCCTCCTGTTGCATCTAATCTTTTCATTATCCAAGAGAAAGAGCATAGCAATTGAATGGCTGTAAGGGAGGCGGGTTTAGAAAGGGCATAAAGATGGGCGAGAGAAGCACAATTTTTTTGATCTGGATTCTTTTAAAAAAGGCACCACCGCTGTACAGCAGGAAATCAGAGAAGTCTCCCAGAGAGAGGAGAGAGAAACAAAGACTGAGGACAGAACAGAATTCCAATTCTGGAGACTCAGCCACACCGGCCTAAGAAGGGCAGTCACTGTGGCCAGACCATTCAGAGCAAATGGGGCTTGGCCTAGGGGAGAACAGTGAAACAACAGGAGGAGGATCTGTGTGGAAGTTGGGGAGGTGAGGGTAGTGAGGGGGATGTGCAGGGAGGAGATGGGGGAGGGATATGGAGGTCAGATTTTTTTTTTTTTAAATATATACTTCTTTATTGGTTTCAGAGAGGAAAGGAGAAGGAGAGAGAGATAGAAACATCAATGATGAGAGAGAACCATTGATTGGCTGCCTCCTGCACACCCCCACTGGGGATTGAGCCCGCAACCCAGGCACGTGCCCCTGGCCAGAATTGAACCCGGGACCCTTCAGTCCGCAGGCCGACGCTCTATCCACTGAACCAAGACGGCTAGGGCTGGAGGTCAGATTTTGCTTTTTATTTTATATCTACCTCTATCAGGAGTTTGACCTTTTTGTAGAATTTAGTCTTTGTATATGAATGGGTATATACTATAGACCAGGGGTGGGCAAACTTTTTGACTCGAGGGCCACAATGGGTTCTTAAACTGGACCGGAGGGCCGGAACAAAAGCATGGATGGAGTGTTTGTGTGAACTAATATAAATTCAAAGTAAACATCATTACGTAAAAGGGTATGGTCTTTTTTTTTTTTTTAGTTTTATTCATATCAAACGGGCCGGATCCGGCCAGCGGGCCGTAGTTTGCCCACGGCTGCTATAGACTATATCTATTATAAATAAATATATAATATAATTATTATTGTTTATCCTCACCTGAGGATATTTTTCCATTGATTTTTAAAGAGAGTGGAAAGGGGAGAGCCACAGAGAGAAAAACATTAATGTGAGAGAGATACATCCATTGATTGCCTCCCACATGCCCCCGACCTGCAACCGAGGTACATGCCCTTGACTGGAATCGAACCCAGGATGCTTGAGTACAAGGGATGATGCTCTATCCACTGTACCAAACTGGGTATTTTTATTATTAAAAACTAGAGACCCGATGCACGAAATTCGTGCAAGGGGCTCGGCCCCCGCCCGCCGCAGCAGCTGCCTTGGCCCTCCCAGCCCTGGCTTCGTCCAGTCTAATTAGCATGTTACGCTTTTATTATTATAGATTGTTAAAGGCTTGTTTGTCTTTGGATAGTTCCCCTCCCCCCAATATTGTTTAACCCCCTGATTAACATGTCTTCAATCTGGAGCAGAGTCCAGAGATTATAGGCACCAAGCTCTTTGCCGTAAGTTGAGTCCCTCAGTGACTCACCCTATGTTTAAAGTTTGCCAGGGCGAACTGTGAGGCCCTTGAGGCCAGGCAGGGATCACGCCTCCTTCCTTTGTGTTTTGGGTCCAGGACTTCACTCAGCACACAGGTATTTGAGGGAGGTCCTTAGCACCCCAACAAGGTAGGAGTCCCTGCCCCAGAGTCACAGGGTGAGAGGGGTGCTTCCAGGGGTAAGTATTTAGCCTGGTCTTTCTAACGTCCACCCAGAGCTGGTCAAGGACTCCAACTTCTATAGCCAGGATGTCACTTGCTGCTGAGAAAGTCCCTACTCTCTGAATTGAATCTGTGACAGAAAAGGAGCATCAGGCTGCAGAACAGCTGTCACGAACAAGTCACCCATTGAATCTCCCAGGACTCCGTTCTGCGCCCTCACTCTGCCTGGAAGGAAGCCGCTAACCTCTTAATCCCCAGTCCTCCAGGCTCACTCTAAGGACAGGTGAGGACAGAGACAAGCTGTGTAAGGAACCCAGAGCACAGTCCCCCCCCAGCGAGATGCGTTAGCCGCCTAAGGGCGGGGTCTGAGGCTGGGCCCAGGAGGCAGCCCCTTCCAGACAATGAGGGCTGAGGAGAGACCCTGTGGATGATTGACACTTGACAAGTGGGGACAGGAGGGGAGCAAACAGGAGGGCTGGCTGCCACCCAGCAGGGTTATGACCAGCTCAAGCTGCTGGCTTCTGCAGAGCCCGGCTTTGTTATCCGGCCCCCCCCCCCCCCCCCCATGAAGCTGGGCATAACCTGGCGGAGAGAAGGGCGACAGGAAAGTGGGACGTTCAAGAGCCTGGCCTTTTACGGATCAATTAACTTCCAAATGGGAATACATAAAACCTGAGGTCACAAACACCCATGTTAGCAGGTGTGTCACTTCCTCAGCTCAGCTTAAGCTTTGATTTAAAGGGAAGCGCAGGGTCTCAGGAGCTGGAGCGAATGTGGCTGCTTCACCACAGCTTCAAAGCCACTGGGAAGGTAACGCCAAATTCCCAGGTTTGAAGAAGTCAGTGTCCGGAGGGATGGAGGGAGCCGAGGGGCAGCGGGAGGAAGTGGCTGGTGGGAGGCAGCCAGCCTGGAAGATCCCGGGAACATGAGGAGACGGAGTACTCACATGGCACATCCCTGCCACAGCCAGCAGCGGAGGGCTTTAGGACTGATGTGAGGGAGGCTCCCAGGAGGGAGAGAACCTGACAGCTGACTGACACAAGGGGCCCTGGATTTGAAGGGCAGCCTGGAACGAAACTGGGGGCCTTGCTTACCGCAGAGGTGAGCCCAGACTCAACCTGCGGGTGCCCTGGTCCCAGGGGCATCCTCGTGGTTCTGTCTGGTCCACCCCTCTCTCACCCCCCAGTGAGCACCCCAGCTACTTACAAGGGGCATAGAACATGACCAAGGTGTGTTTCTTCTTCTTCAGGGTCTCCCGGAAGTTGTCCCCCATCAGATGCAGCACACTGGTCTGCTGCTCTTCCCAGGTGGGCTCTGGGGGTGGGGGGGCCTCGGGGCTGCAGGGAGCCGGGGTGGAGGGGACACAGTCATCAGGAGAGGCTCATGTACAGGCAAGTGCTTCCACCCCTCTCCCTCTCCCCCCCACCACTCAGGGGAGCATGAGAGAAACCCCTTTGCTTCCTTTCTAAAGTTTAATTTAAAACCTGTTTAAACATGAAAAAATCTGTACCATCAGCAAAGATTCCCAATTCCCTCGGAAAAGCCTGAGGTGAAGCCACTCTGTGAGGGTGCGGAAGAGCTGAGCCCCTTCAGGGCAGGGCCGCCTCTCGGGTAAGGGCCCTCACTCCTGGCCATGGGCATAGCAGCTCCTCCACCCGGCTCCCCTCCCGCCCCCTGTTTCTTCTGGGACCCTGAAGGCCGCCCACTACTTCCTGTTCCTGAACCTTGTTCTGGTGGAGAGAGCATGGGCCAAAGAGTGCAGTCAGTGAGTCTGGGTTCAAATCCAGTTACTTACCAACAATGTGACCTTAGGCAAGTTACTAACCTTCTCTGAGCTTCCATTTTCTTTTCTGTTAAATGAGTACAATGATACCTACTTCCTGGGATCCTTACAGAGAGCGGAGGGTGCATGTAAAGCACCTAGCCAGCCAAGCAACTAACAGCGGCTGAGAGTCTATATGCTCTGATAAGTGACTGGCGCATAGTGGGTGTTTATAATTACTCATTCTCTGTCTGTCCACTGGTTCCCTCCCCCTGCCTCTCAAAAGTACAGATAGATCTCCAGGGTCTTTTAAAGCCTCTGTTGCCCTTGCCCTCTTCTCTACAGCCATGTCCTCTCTCCCTTCGCTGAGAAGTGTCTCTGGGGGGGAGGGGGGTTGGTCTGCTCCCAGTGCTGACACAGCCCCCTGCATTCTCTCCTTCGCCCCTGCACCCTGACACCCCATGGCCACCCTCACCTTTCAGAAGCTCTCTCTCTCTCTCTGGTTCTATGTCTCATCCCCTGCAATGCCCCAAAGCTCCCATTCTGCGTAAGCTGGTGTTTCTCAAAACACTGAGGCTGAAGGTCCCACTCACACTTCCTGAATCAAAGCTTCAAGGACAGCAGCCCAGCATCTGCGCTTTAAATCAGCACCTCAACACCAGGTGATGCTGACATATATCCAAGCCTGAGGTTCAAGGTCCTAACAAAGTAACTCCATTCAGATGCTGCTGTTTTGCAGTTCTTGTGTCACTTTGTGACTTTAACTGGTTCCCAAATGGGCATCATTATAACATGGACCAGGGACCTTGCAGAGGCTGGAAATGGTCTTCTTTATCTCGCCCTCAGCAGAAATGAGGAAATAGTCTCGGATATTTAAGGTGTGTGTGTATGTGTGTGTGCGTGCGCACGTGTGTTGGGGGAGGGGTGTAGATCGCAGAAAGGCTCCTCAGTTGTGTCCTAACAATTCCTGCCTCTCAAGCAAGGCCCGAGGCTTCCTCCATTTCCCAGGGCACCTGTGTGACAGCTCATTTAGTCCTTCACAGGACAGGGAAATGCTAAGAACTGTATGTTCTTAAGTCCTGGGGTGATTTGGAGGGTCCTTGGGCCTGTAACTGCAAGGCTACTCAGGTTCTCTGGACTTCCTGACTGTTGTGGGAGGGACTGTGTCCCCCCAAGTTCCCATAGTGAAGTCCTAACCTCTAGTACCTCAGAACGTGACTGCATTTGGAGGCAGGGTCTATAGAGGTAATTAAGTTAAAATGAAGTCACGGGGTGGGCCCTACTCCAGTCTTACTGGTATCCTTTTAAGACAGAAGAGGGCACAGACACAGACCATGTGAGGACACAGGGAGAAGACGGCCAAGGAGAGAGGCCTCAGAAGAAACTAACCCTGGAGACATCTGGTCTTGAACCTCTGGTCTCCATAGGTGTGAGAAAATAAACTACTTGCTCTCTGAAATCTTATTCTCAGCCCCAGAATGGCCCGGGCTGCACTGTGGACACTGAGGAGGTCCTGTGAGCCACCAGCGAACCTGGGTGCAAGTGAGTCCAGCTCTCCATACGAAGAGCCGTGTGTTTCCTTCATCCATTCACAGGGGATGGGACAAAGTGCAGATGATGACACCTGGGGCCGAGACCTTGGGAAAGGGGGTGGGGGGCTCTAGAAAGAGAGTAGAAGGCTTACTGGAGCTGATAAAACTGCATCCAGAAAGGCTACCAGCGGCCTCCTGGGTGAGGACCGTGGTGAACACACCAGACGTGGCTTTAGGATTGGGGAAGTCAAATTGGTCTTGGCTTGTGGCCCTGAGCCAAGGGCAGTAGCTGCTAAGGTTTAATTCTCCTCCTCAAGGCCGTCTCCGGTGGCCGACAGCCAGGAGTCGGGATGTACTACCAAGACCATCAAACTTACTTTCGAATCCACTCAATAAAGTTCTTCTTCGTTCTGAGCACGGGCACTGCATATTTCTCTCCGTTCTTAAAGTACTTCAGTGTGGGGAACTCGGAGATGTGGAATCTTTCTGCCAGGGCCTTGTTGACAGTGGCATCGACAGCTGCAAGGACACCAGAGCTCTGGGATGGGGGAGAGGCCAACCATGCACGACAGCCTCAGACACGGTGCAGGCAGAACAGAGGAGCCCAGACGACAGCCCCCTGCTCCCCTGCCCCCGGGCCTGCAGGGACTTCACTGTGGGGTGGCTGGCCCCAGGGAATGACCAAACACTGGCACGGTCATCATTTCTCCTTATGGGCTGAGATGAGGCTTTTAAATCTGCCCACCAAGCAGGCTGGGCAGACAGACTGTGGCTGTTCCCAATAGCCAGCGACCCAGAGAAAAGAGGGAGAATCCTGGGGCTTCCCCTTAAGGCCATGACCTGACAGAAGCTACCTGGACAGGCTTGGGAATGTAACCCCAGTCTCTCTGCACCCCTCCATCCCTGGTAGGGCCCCACCCATCTGACTCGGAAACGTGGAAGTACTACAGATCTCCAGGGGCCGGGAGAGCTGCTGCAGAGCTGGCAGGGAAAAGCCATTGCAATGATTCATGTCACTGATTCTTCAGACAAGAATGTGGGGGGGAGGTTAGGGGAAGGATGCTTACGTCTGCTTCTCCGTGGAGGACTTCCGCTGCACTCTCAAACTCTGGCTTCATTTTCTTACAGTGTCCACACCCTGTGGGGAACAATCGAGAGAAACCATTCCCATGGCAGGGAGGCTCTGGGGATGTCCCCTGCCGCCACCTCTGCAGGACAGCTCGGCCCTGCTCCCAGGGGCGCCCGGGAGAAAAGAAGGAGGACAAAGAAATCGTGCCAAATCCACTGGGGAAGCTTCAGCGCCAACGAACCACCTATTTCTCTTCTATTCACAAAATACTGCTCATTCACATATTTCTATGGCACTGAATTCTGTACTGCCTTATTGTCTTCTGATATTTAGGAGCAGCCAGGGCATCTTTTTAAAACAGAAATCAGATTAAAAACAAACAAACAAAAACCCTGGTTAAACCTTTCCCATGGCAGGTACATTAAAATCCAAACTCCTTACCCCAGCCACAAGCCCACACCACCTGGCCCCTCCCATCTCAACCCCCTCCTGCCCTCTGCTCTGCAGCCGTGACCCCCTTTCTGTTCTCTCACTTCACCTCAGGGCTCTTACGCTGGTGCCTGGGACACGATCTTCCCCCAGGTCTTTGCATGCCTCACCCCTTTATTGCAATCACGCTTCAGTACAAATTTCACGTCTGCAGAGAAATTCCCTGGACACATAACCCAAAAAAGCCTCACTCCATCATGATCTCTTCCAATGTCCTATTTATTTTCTCAATTGGACTCAAAACAGCTGGAGTCACTGCCTTACTTGTTCCCTGTCCATCCCCCCAACCAGACAGGCCTACCTGTCTGTCCAGCTCACCACCACACCCCTGCTATTAAGGACGGTGTTCCACACACTTTGTGAATGAATTAACCTCATAGCTATATTGTTCAGGCTTACATTTGTGGTAACAGGATTTAATTGGACTAAATTCTTTTGGGGCAAGTCCTGTCTTATGCCCAAATAGTTGCTAGTTTGATAAACCTCCTCTATTTAGTAGAACTGGCCACCAAGGCAGTTACTGTGCAGGTACTTCCCCTCCCCAGCACCATTTATACATTCCCCTGCTCTTACCAGGTCTAAAACACATCTCTGGAAATCTCTAGCACCCAGGGATGTTGTTCTAAAGTGTCCCACACATACCCTAGCATTGACTTGATATCATGTGATTTTTGCTTCTAGCATTAATTCCCTCTGCTCCCTGAACAAAATACTGAGGCGAAGCAATAAACTTCTGTAGACAGTTTATGATGAGGAGACTGGCCAGGCCCCGAGAGGAGAAAGGGCTGGCTGGCACCCGCCTGTCCTGGGGAGCTGAGCTGTGGGTCATGGGCGGTGCTGGCCTGGACCCCAGCTCCAGCTTCCTGGGCCTGGCCTTCAGGACATCCTGGTGGCGGGAGAGCCCGAGGCGGAGGGTTACACGCCGGCCCGCTGCGTTTTAGTGTCCTGATTGTGATTTGATAGGCCATTAAGTTTTATCACCAAACTCCTTGTTGGGTTTTTATCATCTGTGTAAGTGCACTTACGCTGATTTTCATGACCTGGCACAGAGGCTACGCATCAACGCCTCAATCACACTCTTCTCTGGCTGTGGGAATGTTGGCCTCCCATCAACCCCAAGCCTTCAGATGCCTCTGGCCTCCATGCTCTTCAATTACACTTATGATTTTATTATCATGGAGACTTTCCTGGACCCTGGGCCCAGAATTTTCCAGGGGACCAGATTAATTTGGGAAGCCGCCTGGGACCTGAGATTCGAGAGGAGCCTGGATGTTCCTATTCCCATTCCTGCTACCTATGGGAGCAGAAACATTGATGTCTTAACACCGTGAATGTTGTCCCTGCTCCCCCTCCCCGCCCAGCCCCCTGCAGCCAGACACCTGAGAGCTTTTTTGAGGCTTCCAGCTGTATACACACCAAAGCTGACTTGTGCACACTCACAGACACTCTGGGGCAAACCCCACACTGATGGATGCTTCCGCCCGTCACATAGCCCTCTTCTTGTGCAAGGAAAGAGTTAGGGTTTTTTTCCTCCTTTATGTTAGTGTAAAACATAGATAACAAGCACTTAAGTATTTTCTTCCAGGCTTCTATCCTAAGGAAATAATCTGACATGTGGACAAATATTGATGATAGAAATGCTCTGTGCAGCATGATTTACAATGGGGAAATACGGTAAACAACTCCAACCTTCAACATAATGATGCTGGTTAAGTGATTTATGGTGCCATTTTACAATGGAATAGTATGTGACCTCAAAAAGCACGTACAAAAAAGCATTTTTAAATAACATTAAGAGAGAACGTATAAGATAATGTTAAGAAAAATGAAAAAAGAAGATATGCACAGGAAAAGGGACTTAAAGAAGTAAAATGAAAGCCCTTCTTTCCACCTGGCCCAACAAGCAAATGAAAAATCCAGATGAATTAAAGAACAAAATATAAAAGCAAAAATATTATAACAAAATACAGGGTGCTATTTTTGTATCTTGGGGGTAGATTTCCAAAGCAGCCCATGAATCCCAGAGATCAGGATGGGAAAAGCAGGCTATGGAAGGCTCAGTGCCAAGACTGACTCTCGGGCTGCAGGGTTTTTAATCCCAGCTCCCCTTTTTTGGCTACGTGGCCTTTGGCGAGTTCCTCAACCTTCTGGTGCCTCCCCTCCCTAACCTGTAAAATGGGGATAATCTTGATATAGTCATAGGTTTTGTTATGAAGGTGAAATGAGTTAATATGTGGAAAGTGCTTAGAACAATGCCTGATTCATACAGTAAGCGCTCAAAAAAATTCTAGCTACTATTTAACGACTAAAAACATAGAGCTTTTGTACAATGAAAGGCACACCCTAAGGAACGTTAAAGCAAGCAACAGACTAGCAGAGAACACCTGCAACATGGATAACAAATAAAGATTAATCGCCCTAACCACAGAGCTCTAGGTCAAGAAGAAAAACAAACAAACTACCCACTAGAAAAATGGGCAAAGGGTATGAACAGGTGGCTCGCAGGAGAAGTGAGGGAAGCTGATAATCACAAGAAAAGAGGCCCGACTTCCCTGGAGTCCAGGGAGCTTCGGGCAAGTGGCCCTTTTGCCCAGGTTGGCAGGGCTAGAAAAGGCCAACAGCATGCACGCTGGCAAAGGTGCAGGCTCTGTCACACACGGTCAGGGGTGTGACACCTTCCTGGAGGGCGAGGTGGCAGGATCTACTGGTATCAAAGCTCAGGCACACGTACCCCATGGCCCAGCAACGTCACAAATTTCAAGAATCAGTCATAAATATTTAGTCATATTTCCAAATACATATGTTTACACTTGTTCATTGCAATGCTTGAACAGCGAAAGGCTGGAGACAACCGTCTGTCATCAGGGGAATAGTTTGCAATTTACAGCATCTCTAAATGATAAAACGCTATTCAGTGGTTAAACGGATTGAGATAGATTTATATGCCCACACCTACGGTTACATGGGAAAATCTCTGAGACCTGCTGGTGAGTGAAAAAAAAGCAAGTCACAGAAAAATGGACGGGGAATGACCCTATTTACATAAAAAAAATAAGATCCACTATTTAGGGAAAAGCACAGAAGGAGAAAGATATAGCAACGGTTCACAGCACTCAGCCCGGGAAGGAAGATGGGGTGGGGAGCACTATGTTCTAATGTATCCCCTGAACCTTGCACTGCCAGTAATGAAAACATCATTAATATTATGCTTAAACTATTTGTGCAATTAAAAAAATAAAAGTGATTGCATGAAGGATTTTATGGCATGATAGTTATACAAAGCTCTACAGGTGCCAGAAAAGTCAATTTAACTGTATGTAAATATAATAAATAAAAGTTAAAGACAAGGGAAAAATAAAAGAAACTAGCAAGAATGATGCCAAAAAGAGAAATGCAGTTTCCTCTGAATCATGGGATCACAGGTTTGTTCTTCTTTTTTACCTTAGTCATTTATATTTCTCTATGCCTTCTAGATTTTCTACAAAGATCCCATATTACTTTGAGAATAAGATTGAAACAAAGAAACAAAGTCTGGATTCGGACAGGGACCAATGGACTGCCAGCTCCTGGAGGGCAGGCCGGGCGGGCACAGCACACACCTGCTGGTGGTGGGGTGGGGACCAGGGCAAAGCTGCTGGCTGGCCCCCAGGGTCCTGGGGAGGGGGCGGCAAGGGGGGGCTCTTGTTCCCCATTGGCTTCTTTTTTGGGGTCCCTGCTTGCCTCTCAGCACCCACAAGGGAGACAAGCCGCTCCCCAATGACACCCTTCCTGGGAAGTCTCACTTTGTTCCTTTTACCATCCCTACACATGGGCCGCTCATTAGGGCAGTGTTATCACAGCATCGAACCCTTCCCCGGCCTAAGACAGGGCTGGACTTACAGGGAGAGGGAGGAGCAGGTGGAGGTTATTGCAGTAAAACAGAAGGGACAAGAACAGAAGAGTGACAGCATATAATCTGATTTCTCCTCAGGAAGCTGCAAAAAGGAATGAAAGGCGCTCAGGAGGGGCAATGTCCTGCTGCCACGCCCCTTCCAGACTCCATCTTTGTCCTCTGTGGGACGGGAGAGCTGGGCCAGGGGCTGCAGCCCCCCCACCTCCCCCCGAGATGGATGACAAAGGAGGAAGCGCTGAGCAGGGGAGAGGCCCCCCCAAGGCTGGGGCCCAGGCTCAGGCCTCACTCTTCCTGGTGCACAGGCCCCTCTCAGAACCCACTGCCCACTCAGACTATTCTCCCCGAGGCCTGGCCGCTCCTGGAGGGCAGGGTCCACGGGGCAAACCCGCTTTAAAATTCAGTTTCCCTGCTGCCCCCTGTGACCTGGGCAGGACTGGAGCTAACTGTGGAGGGCCCGGCACTGTGGCCCAGCCTATGCTCATTTGCTCAGTGACAACTCAGACGTCAAATGCGAGGCTGCAGAAGAATCTGTGGGGTTTCCACCACTGCAGCTGGGGGAGAGCAGAAGGCAGGCGAGGGGGTGAGGGAGAGGCGGAGGGGGAGTAAGGGGCAGGAGATCTAGGAGAGAGATTGAAGAAGCAGGGCCAGTGGAATGTTTGATCATTACAACAGCCACGGCCGTGCCTGTCCTGCCAAGAACCTCGGAGTGCAGCTCAGCGGCACACACAGGCTCCAGGCAGAGAGCCCAGTGACTTGCCCTGGCACCCACAGGTGCGGGGAGCTTCCGCCTGGGGAAGGCACAGGTCAGGAGGAAGATGAAGACCCCGTCTCTCCTGGCCTTTCGAAGCTGGACCAGGAAAGGACACGTGGGGCACTTACTCTCCATGGAAACAGCCCAGCAGAGAGAGACCACGGCTCTGCCTGGCGTCGCTGTCAGGAGCAACGTTCATTTTCTTTCTGTACTTTCCTAGGCTAACCCTTGCTGACACATACATGCATTCCTTTGTAAATAGCAAAAAAACGCCATAAAAATTAATACAGCGTTTTGGTGTCAGCCCCATTATTGCAGTCTGTTGGGATCCTTTAAAATCTTGGTGCTAACTCACCCACCTAGAAACAAACCAAGGACATCTGGCAATCCCTCGTAGAATCTACGGTCTTCTATGTCGGCAGAGCCTACCTTGTTTTTCCAAGTCTCCAAATGGTCTGTCTCTAAACCAATCCCTCTTTGGCCTGGGACTGACACCTGCAATATTGTGATTTCCAGAATTCACCTTTTCTGTACTTGGGACACCTGGGACAGCACTGCCCATCTCTGGCCTCCTGGCATTTGTCCTTTCTCTGGGTTCCTCAAACACCCCCAAAACGGACCCCTGATCACTGCAGCAGCTGGTATGATACACAGCTGGGCCCCCAGGAGCGCTCTGCTCTCAGCTCACCCCTGGGCTCCGTGTTCTCTAAACCACATGTGCTCCATCTCAACCCAGGCTGCAGGCCGTGCTCCTAGACAGGGAAGGAGGACTGTGTAGAGAGATTATTATTTTTTTTAATATATTTTATTGATTTTTTACAGAGAGGAAGGGAGAGAGATAGAGAGTTAGAAACATCGATGAGAGAGGAACATCGATCAGCTGCCTCCTGCACATCTCCTACTGGGGATGTGCCCACAACCAAGGTACATGCCCTTGACCGGAATCGAACCTGGGACCTTTCAGTCCGCAAGCCGACGCTCTATCTACCGAGCCAAACCGGTTTCGGCAGAGAGATTATTTGATGCAGAGCCACTCCCATCTGATGTGAACTTAGACAAGCGGTTCATTAAGAAGCTTTACCTCCTGTTTTAGCCCTGAGCCCTCTCACTCTGCCAGCCCCCTGCCCCCCCTGCCCCCCCCCACACACGTGCAGAGACAGGCACTGACAGACACCTCATGGGGGAATGCAGGGTCCCCAGCTGGCAGACACCCACCAAGAGGAGCCTCTGACAGCTCCATTTGCTAAGTCTGAAATCAGAGCCCCTCAGCGGGGCTCTGCACAGAGCAGCGCATTCGTGGTAATATTCATTAGTAATGACGAATGGGAAAACAAAAGCTGCCATCTGGTTTCTAGTTCTCACTCTGATTTCTAATTTAGCTCCAGAACAACTTCGTTTGTTCGTTTTCTCATTCCTTAAGCCCTGACTCTATTCTGTGCCTATGGGTGACTTGGGTCGGAGGCAGGGGCAATGAGTGATGTCCTTCTGGTTCAGGAAGGGAACAGAACACATAAGGGGGAGGGAAGGGAAGGGACCCTACAGTCAGGCTCCTGGCCCCAAGACCCTATAAGCATCAGCTACTACAATGGATCCCTCACAACCTATAACTACAAAAAAACAACAGACAAAACAGATCTAGTTTGCAACCAGGGTTGTTAAAAAGAAAGTGCTTCTAACGTATCTGGTACATATTTTTGGATAATTTGCAGGACTCATAGAAGGGGACACCTACTCTTCACGCTGTGATCATAAACCACAAACCACTGCCCAAACCTGACGCAGGTCAGAAATTCCCAGGGGGACTGAACACAGCCAGCTTGCTTCTGCCTTTACTGCAGGGACAGGGATGCAGGCAGGATGATTTCAGCTCTAGCCCCCAGCTACAGGGACACATTCACGGAGGCCCCCAGCAGGGCTGGGGGTGACCTGCTCCTAAGGCCGCTAATCAGGAGACTTTTTGAAACAAAGTTTTTTTTGGTTTTTTGCATGTGTCAATTTTTTAGAAATCAAGAAGGAAAAGGGCCAAAGGGAATACTTTTCCTTTGGATTCTCTGAAGAATTTGACACATAAGAAAAAAGGAGTTGGGGAAATCCCCAGTAGTAATCCATGTATGAAAAATTCCCACATAACCACACCCATCAGGGGTCAGCAGTACAGGACTCACAGAACAGGAAACAATGTGTCACTTCTTTGTGTGTCAGTCTCCACATCTGTAAAATGGGGTTAATCATATTCACACTGTGGATAAGATAAAAGGAGCTGACCCTGCAGGAAGCCACTTTATCACCATAGAATGAAGCCCACTGTTATCATGAGGATTCCTATAACTAAGACGATAATAATATAGTCACTGAATATGGACTGGACAATTACGACACTGATTGGCAGTTATTTTTTGTTTTATTTTTCTCCTCCACAATCTCTTCTTCTCTATCATTGGGCCAAAGAACTGGTGAGAAGCTACAAAAGAAGAGCACCCACCACATATACACCCTGTGTCCTAGGGTGCCAATGACCTACCTTCTTCACCCATCAGGATGGGCCCGCCCTGAATGGGCCCACCCTCTCCCAGTACTACTCCCAGGAGCTCTGTGCCCCAGGCTGTCATCCCTTGCTCTCACACCATCCTTGCTCACTTTACAAGAGCAGCCTTCTCCCTCTTGGAAATGAATCACAACCAATCTCCATTCTTCATGGGCATGGGGAGGACACTGGCCTAGGAAAATCCTGAGCTATAGGCCTTCCATCCATATTGCAAACACATATTGCAACTTCATTTGTTCATGTTCTCCTTTGTTAAGCCCTTCCTCTATTCTATGCTCATGGGTGACTTGGGTTGGGGGCAGGGGCAATTTCCTTCCTTGACCCCCTGTGGCTGCTTCAGGCTGTGACTGGCCCCAGTGAAGCAGAAGGAAGGCATTCTAGATGCTGGGGGGTCTGAGGCTCTAGCCCTGGCCTCACTGTGCCCTCCCAGGTGCTGGGCAACATACGGCCCTCTTGAGGCCTCAGTTTCCCCACCTGTAAGATGAGGGGTGATTACTGTTCTAGGCAATATGTAATGGCCCTTCCGGTCCTAATTCCTCCAGTTCTGGGAAATCCATTTGCATTTCCTGATTCATGCTGACTTGGAGGAAGTGGCTCGGGTCTGCCAGGTGGAGCTGAGGGGCACGTGCAGCCCGACTGGGACTTGGGGGATGAAGGTGGGCTGCGTGCACCGTGAAGGCAGGGACCTCGCCTGGCACCAGAGCACCCCCGGCACCGAGGAGGCATCCGATAAGCAGGCGCTCAGTGGACTCTCATCCAAGAGCAGCGCCTCCTATGCTGAAGGGGGAAGGAGATGGTGGGGAGGAGCAAGGCTCCACTCACATGGGGCGTGGAACATGACGAGGACAGAGGAGTGCTCCTTCAGAAACTGGTCAAAGTCTTCGTCGGTCAGGTGATAAACGGAGCCGCCCTCATCTGCCCAGGGAGTCTCGGGGACCTGGGGCTGTGGCGGCTGCGGACTGGAAGACCAAAAACAGGCAGAGCTCAGAGCACGCCCTGGGGCCTGAGCAGCCCGTACAAAATCCAGCCCCTTGGCTCAGAGCCCCCCTGGCTCGGCCTGGCTGGCTGCAGGGCTCACCAGGAATGCCCCTGGTGGCGGAGCGGAGGGGTGAGTGGCCTGGCCCTGCCCACCTCCACTGTCCCCTTAAAGCCCCTCGGAAGTGCTTCGCTGATATCCCATCACGAATAGCGGGGTGCAGCGATAGCTCTCTAGGCAGCTCAGGAAATGTCGCTGCCTCCCCTGAATCTGGAGGTTTGTGAGCTTCTCAAGCTCTTTCAAACTTTCAGCAAACTGGCGAGAACAAATAGCACAGCAGAGTGGCCTTTGGAAAGCTTGCTGTCTAGCAGTGCCCCACCAGCAGGGACCCGGAGAGGGAAGACCATAGGGGAGGAGGGTGCACATGGGGCTGAGGAGGAAAGAGAGAGGCTGCCTCCTGGGTGACCAGTGTGGGAGGAGGTCATGGAAAGCAAGAGGGGGGCCAAGCGAACCGGGCTGGGGGTACCCTAAGTATGGCAGCATGTGGTACATCACAAAGCCTTCCGAGAGACCAGGCCAAGCTTATCTAGTTCTCCCTGAGGCAGAGCTGAAGCAGAAAGAGCCGCTTGGGGCGAGTCCACCATCGCTGCCTGCAAAACCTCGGAGCCCCCAGCCTCCGTGGAGCCCGCTTCCGCCCGCCCCGGGTAACTGCGTGCTGGTGTCCACATGGCCAGCTCTCTTCTCTCTGAGCGGGAGGCGCTCAGGTGCCCTCCGTGGCTGGTGACTAGAGCTCCCTGGTGCTTCACTGCCACAAGCACCTTAATTGCCGCTTTGAAAAAACCCATTAGGATGACAAATGTGAAAAGACAATCATTGTTTCCTGCATCTCAGAGCAGATAGTAGAAAAGTGTTAAGTTCCAGGGGCCGGGGCTGAGGATTTATGAGAGCAATGTGGTGGACACAACGGAATCCGCCACCTTACCCCACAGCAGGGCCTGGGTGTGACGCTACCTGCCCCCCTCTCGGAAGCCCTCCTGGTGCTTCTGACCAGGCCCCGCTGGCAGCCTCAGTCATCCTGTCCCAAGTAATGGGGAGCAGCAGGGAGATGGCAACCCACTCTCAGCTCTTGTGCATCCAACATCAAATGGGGCTGGTGGCAAAACCAAGCTTCAGAACGTCACCAGCCAGACAAAGGTCTCAGACCAACACAAAGAAACCTAAATTCCTATGCTTGGGATCAAAATACCAACCCCTCCAAACACACCACCAATTCCACTGCAGAGAATTTATCTTTACAATACACTGGCACGCAGTAAAATTATGTGCATTCAAAGGTATTCGTCATAGGCGACTTGTCATAGCAAAGACTGAAAATAGCCCAGTGTCATTGGTGGGAGATGGGTAGGTAGCCTGCAGTCGGTCCACCCGACAGAGGGCTGAGCAGGGCAAAAGACCAGGAAGCTGCTCCACTATTGTGGGCAGACTGCCAGGACACACCGAATAGGCCGTCCTATGCTAACAAAGCTGGGAGAGATTTAATAAATACTTATTCACATTTGCCTGTGTCTGCATAAAGAAACGAATCAAAGTTGCTACCTCTAGGGCAGTGATGGTGAACCTTTTGAGCTCGGCGTGTCAGCATTTTGAAAAACCCTAACTTAACTCTGGTGCCGTGTCACATATAGAAATTTTTGATACTTGCAACCATAGTAAAACTAAGATTTATATTTTTGATATTTATTTTATATATTTAAATGCCATTTAACAAAGAAAAATCAACCAAAAAAATGAGCTCGCGTGTCACCTCTGACACGCGTGTCATAGGTTCGCCATCACTGCTCTAGGAGGTAAGAGGGAGAAAACAAGTGAAAGCAAGACTTTTCAGTGTATAATTTTTAAGTATCTTTTAAAAATTAATTATATGAAAGGAATTAATATTAAAATAATGAAAATCCAGCAAAGCCTACACATTGAATGGAGAAGCCATGGCTTAGCAGCAGAAGCATATGCAAACGCCTGAGAAACTTCTAGTTAAACATGGCAGAGAACACACTCCCAAACCACTAAAATAACAGTACAGTTTGTTATTGTTGCTGTTGTTGTATGAACCCACAGGAGCACAAAGAAGGCAGCCGTGAAGAGAGAAAAAAAGGACAGTGCCATTTTAGAAGTTAGAAAAATGACTTAGCCAAACTGAGGGCAGAATCCTGTTGTGGGTGCAGAGGGTACAGGACGGGGAGGGGGGCAAGAGGATGCAGGAACCACACTGATGTGCAAAACTCCAGTGGACTCAGAGGCACCACCCCCTTGAAGGGGGGCTGAAAACAGGAGGCAGCTGAAAGCTTGAGCAGCCAGGCCCTATCCTGCCCCTGCTCTAGCAGCCAGGTGCACCCCCCGCCCCGCTCCCACCCAGCACACAGCAGGAAGCTTATTCTCTGGAGAGGAGGGCAGAGTTGGGCACAGTGGTGAGACTTACTGGGAAGAGGGGGATTGAGTATAGGTCTGAGGTCAAACACTATTCCTGAATTACGCTTTTTACTGTCTGTCTCCTTGGAGACTGGGGCTCCTGCTCCCTCTTATCTCTGTACCCCTGCACCTAACACACAGCAGATTTGCTTTTTGAGTAAATGATGGAACGGGAGAAGATTGGTTAAAGGACCCGGAGAAGACCTGGGGAACACAACAACTACCTTTGAATATTTCCAACTGCATCAGAAAAAGAAATTAAGGTTTATTCTCCATGGCCCCGAAAAGGAGAACCAACACCAACAAATGGAAGCCCCAGCGAAAGAACTGCAGCTCAACAGAAGACAGAACCTTCTATCCGGGAAAGAGAGCTGATCGGGGGTCAGAGGACCTGGGCTGGAGTCCTATTTCCTCCACTCTAACTCTAGGGGCTCAAGCAACCAACTTGACTTAAAACATCAAAAGACAGCCCAGCCGGTGTGGCTCAATGGTTGAGTGTCGACTCATGAACCAGGAAGTCACCGTTTGACTCCTGGTCAGGGCACATGCAGGGGTTTCTGGGCTTGATTCCCAGTAAGGGGCGTGGAGGAAGCAGCTGATCAATGATTCTCTCTCGTCATTGATCCTTCTCTCTCTCTCTCCCTCTTCCTTCCTCTCTGAAATCAATAAAAATATATGTATTTTAAAAAACTTCTACAAGACAGTATATATGTGGGTTATCTACTCCTCAGGTACATCTAGACAGATAATGGATGTGAGACAGCACTTTGTAAATTTACAAAGTATGACCCAAATGTTCCTAGATGCTCATAACCTCAATCATAAGAATCCTTCAAACAGGAATGGACAGCTTCAAAATGAGCCACAGCCCTGCTCTCCGGGGTGTTTGTGGGGCTGAGGTGACTACATTGATCCTAGAGGTGATGCGGACATTTAAGGGAACTGCTGGGGCAGACTCACTGACACTGACACTCCCTTCCGATCCTGAGACTGGGTTCCCTGGGTGGTTCGCACAGATCCTTGCCTGAGGCAAGTGCCTGAGCCTTGGAAGAGGAGATATAAGTCTAAGCCTCGTAAGAAACTCTGCGCTTGTTTTCAGCTCTCTCTGGTGAGTACAAAAAATAAACAGGCAGAAATGGATGGCTAGGCCAAAGGGATTGCCACTTCCGCATACGCCACCTACCGAGCCCTGCGCTTTGGCATGAAATCTGCAGAGGGGCCTGAGAAACAAGCTGTCAGGAGCCCAGAGGGCCCAGCGGCCATCGCCAATGCATCTACCCCACAGCCCTGGCACGCTGGACACCGGGACTCCCTGCCCAGCCTCACACTGTGCCCACCCACCAGCGACACTGGTTAGAGGGCAGGATCTGGGCTCTTCTCCCTGAGCTTCTGAAAGTCATCCAGAGAATTAGCCAGGCTGGACCCACCCTCATCCTCTCCACACTGGGCTGCCATCGCGGTGAGCCATGGAGAGGCCCAGGGAAGCAGAAGAGGTGGGTCACTGCTACCCACCAGGATTTGAGGGGAAATCTGGTAAAGACTTAAAATACCGGTCCTCAGAGCTGGGTATATGTGTGTGTGTGTGTTGGAGGGGGGAATCTAGAAGGAAACTCACCAAAATATCAGAACACATCTCATTATCTTCGGGAAGTGTGTGTGGGGGGAGGGGGGCTTTTTTTGTTGTCGTTTAACTATATTTTTAAGTTTTTCTAGAACAATATATCTCATTTCAATAGCCTTAAAATCTAATTTTAAAAGAGTTTTAAACAATTAAGCCAATTGGCAGCACAGTGGCATTGCTAGTTCTTGCTGGGGGGTGAGGTGAGGCAGCTCACTGGGGTCTTTCCGGAGGTTGCCTCCTTGCCCACTGTGCCGGGGGAGTGGGCTGCGTGTGTCCCCGGACACAGTGAACAAGTGGCTGGACATCTCTGGAGGGGTTGCCAGGGAGACCCAGATGCTACCTGCCTGGAGTTATCCCACCAACCTGGAGACCCAGGGTGAACCGGAAGCTGCTAACAAGGTGGGTGAGGAGAGGGAGGCATCCACCCAGGACACAGACCTGGAGGCAGCCCTGGGGTTCGGGCTCGAGCCGCGATCGGTGAGAAGCTGGGTGGGCAGCGTGCAGGCAGCAGGGGTGGGGACAGAGTGGCAGGCCCCAGGAGGAGATAATAACCTGCCTCAGAAACGCCACGGATATGCTGCCCTTGTCTATGGTTAGCAATTCTCAGTATGTTTTTTTAAAAAAACCAAACCTATCCTTTCAAAAAGACATGAGTCTATTTTGAAACCAGAAAAGGTTAGAGAAAGGGAGGGAAGCAGACAGATTTTTATGCTCTGGTGACAAATGAGACTGTTATTTGCCGAAACCTCCCAAAGCAGAGCGATACGCCTGGCTGCAGGAGCGGGCATGGCTGTTATCGAGTGAAAAAGGAAGATGGGGGCAGCGAAGGCCCAGGTTGAGACAATGAACATGTGTAATGGGCAGCTGCCTTCCTGGGCAGGGGCTGGAAATGAGGTGACAGATGGGGAGAGAGATAGGAAATGCTCCAAGAAATCAAAGACCCTGCATAAACACGATGCTATCGCTGTGTTTCATCTCCCCGGTCCCTGGGCACCGACAGAGGACTCAGAGTTTCGACTTTTAGAATCTAATCGTTTGTTTCTTGTGGGGTTTTTCTTTGGTACAACATTCATCCTCTTCTTCCTTTCTGAAAGTACTCGTTTTCCACCTCCACATTTTGGTAACTATTCTTTAAGCCTGGGCCCCTCGGGTAATGATGTCAACACATAATCCAACAGGCTGGCAACGGGGGAGGGGCCAACCAGAACTCCCGAAGTGGGAGCTGCTACAAAATGGTGGTGATGGTGGGAGCTGCAGCTGGGTGGGCCCTGGCCCTGCAGCTTATCAGCTGCAGAAGCTAGGACAAGCTTCTTGACCACTGTGCTCAGTTACCTCATTCATACAAGGGTAACAGCCATAGTTTCCTTTCAGGGCTGTTCTGAGAAGAGAATCCACCTAAAGTGCTTAGAACAGTGTCAGCCACAAAGTGGAGCCCCCAAAATGTTAGCTGTGATTATGCAAAAATGACCACACAGCGGTTGTGACTGGTAAGTGCAAACGGATGCCCGGCCAAGCACGAAGCAAGCAGGTGAGTGCTCAGCTGGGCCGGCCTGGAGGCTTCTAGGAGAGGTGGCCCCACCCCAGCTCCCCATCCACACACAGTCAGGGTTCACCCATCACGCCAAAGTCAACGCTGAGCACGAGGGGCCTTCGGGTGAGGGGGTGCTTTGGGGTATTCAGGGCCTAATCACATTACTCAACGGGGCCCACACGGCTGCGAAGAAGCAGTGTCTGTGGGGAGTGCGGGGTGAACAGCCAAGCGCTCTGCACACCTACGTCATCAGAACATTTCCAGGAGCTGCACAGCTCCTAATATGGTGCTATGTTTGAAATAAGCACGCAAACGACAATTCTATTTTCAGAGAGACCTCCAGTGACAGGTCTCAAACCTGGCATCTGGCGAGAAACACGTCTATCCACGAGACCGATAGTACAAGGGAAAAAACTATCTGAAATGCGATCATCACAGCCAAAGTCACACCAAATCCTCCCAACTCCTGCATCCTAAACTCAGAGCCGCCCACCCTCCCACGGAGATGCAACTCAGAAACAGCTGTGTGGGCAGCCTAACAGGTCCTTCCCTTTCCTCACCCTCGTCCTCAAACCGCAGCCAGAGCCCTAGGACCAGGGACCACCCTGGGGCCTGGCAGAGGCCCCTCTCTCTGGGCACCAGCTCCCCCGCTGCTGCGCCCCGACCCCCGCCTGCAGGTAAATGCCCAACTTACTTCTTCAGCCACTCCACAATATCCTCGGCGCTAGACCCGTAGTTTTCATACTGGAACAGAAACCGTCCTTTCCTGTAAAACGTGGAAAGACAATGTGGGCTCAAACCGGGGATGCAAATGCCATCGTGGAGGCGGCGGGCATCCGCAGGGAGGGAGGGGACTTACTCGAAGTAGCAGATGGTGGGGTAGCCCCGCACGTTGTACTCCTCCTTGATGTTTTCAAATTCCGAGGGGTAGATGTTCATCCCGGCCAGCACCTCGGATGGAAGGGAGAGCAACCTGTCCACCCTCTGCCCAGCAGACACCTCCCCTTGTCCAGGTGCCTCCTGTCCAGCTGTCCCTCCAAAAACGATGGGGACATAATGAACAGGACAAAGCCCCTGAAACTGAGGTGCAGCCCAGGGCAGCAGGGAGCAGGGCAAGCAGAGCCAGCTGGGAATGGCGGCCGATGCCTCTGGGAGAAGCACCTGGGCCCCAGTGCTGCCCTTCGCACAGGTGTCTTTCACCTGCCCTGTAGGAAGAACATCCCAGAGCAGAAACGAGGCTCTGGGGTTTGAGGAAGACACCTGGCCTTGCTACTAAGTTCAAACAGGTCCTGGGGCGGGGGGGGGGGGGGGGTGCCACCAAGGACAGATTAGTACTCTTCCTTGCCCGTGTCAACTAAGGTTGAACTCTACTCCCAAATGATGGGATCACCACGCAGCCATGTCCTCGGACACCTTCCTGGATACCTATGGCCTGTCCACCGTGGCTCCCTGTGCAACATGATCGGACCTTGCAGCTCCGTGTGGTTCTCATGATGACCCGCCTGCCTAACTCTCCTCTCTCCAGACCCTGCTAGGGCTCCCCAACTCTCTCCCCCTGTCTAGGACCATCACCTACCGCCTGACCTGACCACCATCTCCGAAGTCTGAACATGCCCTGGGTGCAGGGGTCCACCCACCCAGCACCCCTGCATGGGAAAGAATTTTAGTGGCTGATATTGACGACAGGGCGGCTCTAAGAACAACCAGGAGCAGGGTCCCCTAAAACATCTTTCCTGGAGCAGAACCCTCCTTCTCCAGGGCAGGATCAGGTGCCCAGAAAGAGGACTCTGGATCTGTTCTCATGAGAGAATGTAGATGGAGGGGCCAGACACAGGAAGCAGGTGGTGGAGAGGAGAGGGGAAAGGAAGTCCGAAAAAGCCAGCGGCAGTTACAGAAGAGCAAGAAGAAACCCAGGAAGCTGGGTTTTGGTGAACAATACATAAGGACGCATGGAAAGAGAAAAAGGTAAGCAGCTGTTTCATTGGACAATGAACTTCATTCAGGAGATGGCCTCAACGTTGGAGTCATCTGACTTTGGGCCAGTCACTCGCCGTTGCTGAGCGAAGTTCCTTGTCTGGAAGATGCGGGTGATCAGACTATCACAGGGCCCTTAAGAGAACTGAATGAGATGATCCATATTCGAGATTTTAACACAAATTTGTGCTCAATAATCAAATTCTTTATTTCCTGCCAAATCCTCCCAGTGTGGCAGCCACCTGTGCCTCTGACAACTCCATCCCTAGAGGCATCGCAACTCGTCTTTCTGACTGTTTTCAGTACCTCGCACAATGCCTGGCAAACAGCGGGCACACAATAAATGCTTGCTAAATCACTGGGGTTTTCCCGCCCAGCCCATTTTGGGATGCTGCAAAAATCATAGGAAAAACAAGCCTGAAACAGAACTTACTCGAAGCCCTGGGACCCTCAAGAAGCCATGCTGCTCATTTCGCCAGACTGATTCAGCAGCCTTTTCCAGCAATAATCGTCTACTTTAAAGTTCTTTCCTTTTTATGTCTAATTGATCTCCCTAGTGTCAGTGCACATTCACCATAAGATTAATCTTCCACATCCTCCTCTTTCATTACATCACTCCCGTGCACAAAACCTTTCAATTCCATTGAGTACAGGCTAAAGTCTAACTTCACACTCAAAGACATACACTCCCCACCTCATTTCTGAGTTCTTCTCTCTTACAAAACCCTTCACTGCACACCTGCTGGGGTCTAGACTTGTTCTTCTCCCAGGAATGAGACAGGTTGAGATTTCTGCACAGGGAAGAGTTGGGCCGAGTGCTGTCTAAGGCACCTCGCAGACAAGCAGCGAACCACAGTGGCGAGGAGGAGGCTCAGGGTCAGGAGGCTGGGTTTGAATCCCAACTCCCCACTTAGCAGATGCATTTCCTTGAATAAGTCACAGTTGTCTCTGTGCCTCAATTTCCTCACCTGCGGCCACCTCCTGTGGTTGCTGTGAAGATTAAATGAAATAGTACAAGGATCTACAATACTCAAAACACACTGTATGTTCGGTCTTTACATTAGGACTGCTAAGAGGCTCTGCAATTCTGGTCTCATTTCCAGAACACACACAGTGCCCCTATTTTGCATCTTCCAATCCCTTGGCTTTTAAGGTGCCCACTTGCCATCTCGGCTCTCACCGGAGACTCATTCAGCCTTAAGGCAAATCAAATCCCACCTTTCCTGGCAGCTTTTTCAAACTACCTTAGCTTATAATGAACTCTAAATTCTCTGAATTTCTGTAGCACTTCTATACCACTTTGGGGACATTTCTTAGTAAAAAAGATACATATTTTTTTAAACAACTACGTACAAACCCTTTAGGAGTTTGTGAAGTTGAGTGAGGCAAAACTGGTCTCAACCTAAGGAGAAGCTGGGGCCACAGCGCCTGGCACTGAGCCACGCGTGCCTGGGGCTGTTCTGTTGGCACCACACGCTCTTCCTCATGTTTAGCCCACGTTGTGACAGGACCGATCACGGAAGCTCCACAAGGCAAGTGACATGTGAGCTAGAGCCCACAGGAAGGTCAGATTTCCGCAGACATCCCAGAAGATAAAAAGGAGGCAAAACAAGATTCGGCCCCAGAAACAGGGAACACATCAGTTTATGAACTGCAGGACACAGAAGGGCGTGAAGAAGGCTAGATGAGTTTGCTGAGGTCACTGGGAGACTTGTATGCCTAAGAAACCAGGCTTTATTCAGGAGGTGCTGGAGAGCTACAGAGGGCTTCCCGGCTGCATTTTTTAAGTAGAGAGGTTGAGCTGCCCGGGAAAGTCATAGATCAGGGAGACAAGTCAATGGTCTTTGTTTTGGCAACTACCCTGTGTGAGTGAACCAGGGCCTGACCCAGAATGGGGGTAGGGAGAGGACGGAGGCCGTGAGCGGGAGATGTGTGATGACACCCTGGCACGTTGGCAGAGAAACTGGGGGTACTCAGGAGAGTTGTGAAGAGAAGCGGCCAGTCTGCCAGGCGGGAAGATTCAGATTTTTATTTTAGACATCCTGCATCTGAAACACAGGGAGAAAAATCCAGACCAAGATGTCAAGCAGGCAGTCTGGCACGTGGTACTAGAGGTTAGGGACTCAGGCTGCTTGGAGCTACATTATGTTGAAGCTGTGGAGGTAGATAAGCTCCCTGAGGGAGAGGCCATACCGATACAAGGAAAGTGCAGTGCCAGGCCTTGCTCCAGTGCGCTACTAAAAAGAGAGGGCGGAAAGCAGCACCATGGGAGCGCCCCCATCTAGTGCGTGAGAGGAACAGCAAGTACCGAGCAGTGGGGTGTCAATCATCTGTATCTGTGAAGTGTCTGTAGGTTACAGACCTGTCTCCACACTCCAGCCCGTTTGCTCTTCACCACACTCCAGTGAGGTGAGCAGGCTTACCGTTATCTCCCCATTTTACAGATGGGGAAATGGAGGCTCCAAGGCTCTTTGCCAAGATCTCCCCGATGGTTAGTGGGAGTCTGATTTGCACAAATCTGTCACCACGACTGACCCGTTTCATGGTGTTTGCACCTAGAGGGTCCATCATGGCCAAGGTTAACAAGAGACAGTGTAGATGTTGATCTGGCAAGGCTGGGAAGAGAAGGCAGACGGGGACAGGCTCATTCTGACGGTGACTCTGATCAGGGAGCAGCATCCCCTGCTAACGAGGATGTCAATTAGCAGTAGCTGGGACAGACACCGATGATTCACCAGACGTCAGTGACAGCACAAAAGAGGCAGATCTCAGTCTGGAAAATGGCAAAGGCTGCGCATTCCTGACCTGGCCTGGCTTCCGTCTTAGTGATATCATCAGGTTGGATACCTCCCAAGACATCTGAAGAAGAGGCAGATTTATGGCCCTCGACATAGACATGGCCACAAAGGGCTCAAAGATGACAAAGATGAAAAGGAGACAGAGGGCGTTAACCCAGCTGGAGTTCAGCAATAGCGAGGGAGCGAGCTTTTGATTCCTGGGGACTGCCAGCCCATCTCCGCCCTGTGTGTGAGGACAGAAAGAAATCCACACCTCTAGTCACCCCGTGTCTGGGGAGCTGTGGCCTCCAGATCCCTCCTACAGTGGGTGGTGTCCATAGTGACCAGCACCCTCCCCCTCTATGGAGCTGGGAAAGGGTGAGAACTTTTCAAAGGAAAGCAAAGATGCTTCCCTAAGAAACTAAGGGGAAAACAAAACAAAATAAACCTCAAAGAAGAAAATAGAGAAGCAAGGAAATGGATGAGTTCACATGACACAGATGACTTAGGCCGAGGTAACTGACACCTGGCCAAACCTGGTACCCGGACAACCCCACTGGCTTTCCTGTAACGCTGTCTAAGGAAGTGGAAGGCTCGCATTTTCTATTTTTCAACCTGGGTCCAGGCAACCTAACAGAAGTAACCTCAGGGCTACCCTTGCAAAAGAGCCCAGTGTGAACCCAGGGCCACGGGGGAAGGCCTTCGTCCCAGAAACGCCCTTCCCACTTTGTTTTTGTCCTTAATAACTGATGCTTTGAATTCCTTTAGAAAGGGGAACATTACTTTAATGTACATAAAGAGCTTAAAATAAAATGGACCCAGGAGTAGCAAACCACACCCTCATTTGTTCATTTATCAGCATTGGGTACCTACTATGAACCTGGCTTATTTCAGTGAGAAACTCATTAGTGTCAACTGGTGAGCAAAGTGATTTAGAACAAAAGCAAAGATGGGCAGACCTGGCTGTGGGTGGCAGGGACAAGCTCTGCGGGCGTGCGGGAGGGGCCGCTGGGTTTGACAGGTAGATGCAGCAATGGCTGAGAACCTCCCAGGAGGTGCCCGAGACTGGCACCAAGACCTGGCCTGCTTTGAAGGGGCTGGCCAGGTAGTTCGTGACCTGGTTGGGGCTGGAGCTGTTGACCTCCCACTGCACCGGAGTTTGGAAGTTGAGCAGAGCAGTTTTCTGTGTATATGCGGGGGCAGATAAGGAGAACACTGTGGGTAATTAAAGTCTTTTCTCCAGGTGAAATAATCTTAAACTACGGTGTCTGTGGAGGCCCCAAAATGTGAAGGGAAACATCCCCAGAGTGATGTATGTGTGCCCCACGGCCAAATGTCTCCAGGCAAGTTGCTAAAAATTCACTAGTGAGAAACACGCAGGACCTTGGTATCCCCAGAATGAGGTCAAAAGAGAAAGCGCTGGCTCTTTGCAGCCCGACCTTGCAGCCGCCAGCAGAGCTGTCCCATACCCAGGTGCTGCCACGGAAACTTTTCAAATTGACTTGGAACTAATCAACTTAATTTGACCCATAAAGATCACGATGCAGTTTTAAGACCCAGAACGCCCTTAGTGGGACTTTGGCTGGCCCCACGGAGCTAGCTGTTGTTTTTTGGTGCCCCCAAGAAACCTCTCCACCCGCCCCCCACTCCCCCCCAAACCCCAAACCTCTGTGGCTAAGGGTAAATGGAGAAATGGACACAGGCACAGAAGAGACAAGCCCGGCAGGGTGGGGAACACAGAGTCGGCCAGGACCACCAGTGACTGACCCTCAGCCCTGGGCGAGGCCTGACCGCCCAGCACCCCTCCTCTCTCACTGACCACCCTGGCTGTTCCCACCGCTCCACAGGCCCGTTTCCTCAGGGCTCCTCTTCCCCCTCAGGTCCCCTCTGAAACACCTTGTGTTCTGTCTGCTCTGCCCTGCACACCCTGCACACGTTCCTTCAAGACCTAGGGCTCCGGCTCCCACCTGGGCTGCCTCCTTTCCACCATTCTCCCGCCTCACAGGGCCCCAGGAGCCCTGGCGGCCTGGGTAGGAGACGGCCTCGGGCACCTGCTTCTGCTTCCGCTGCCACTGGTGTCACTGTGCCTCTTTCTTTGCCACTGGGCTCCCCGTCATCAGGAGCCTTGGCCGCTTTGGAGCCCAGCCCCAGGAATGCCGGACCCCGATGGTCTGCTGTTGGCCACCGGCCACCCAGCAACACCCCTTGCTGTTTTCTTAGCTATTTTGTTACGGGCCTTTGACAGGTGCTAAACTCTCCTGGTCCCAGCAACTCCATGGCATCAGTTCTCAAGATTCTCCGAAGACAGGTGTCTGCACCACACGCCGGGGCAGCAGGGGCAGCAGCATAGGATAAGTCCCCCTCACGATTTCAAAACCTGCCCTCCCCCCGCCCCTGCTCCACGGCATCTCCCCAGGGGGGAAGCAGCCAGCCCCGCCTGGCCCATGCGCCTCACTTACAACGTGGCCTCGCAGCTGGGTGGCAGCCTTCTGGAAATGCGGCATTATCCTCTTGCACATGCTGCACCCTGGTCACCAGGGGGAGAAAAACCAGACTTGGTTACTATGGGCGCTGGGCCCTGTGCTCCGCCCTCCCTCCCCTCAGGACCACCTCTATCCACAAACATGTACCCAGCCTCCAGGAACACATAGGAACTGGAGGCAGAGGCGCTGGCCCCCAAAGAGCTTACATTCATGAAACAGGACAGAGCCCGGCAGTGACAATACACATGGGAGGGACGAAGCAAATGTGACACAGCTGGAGGAGGGCAAGGCACTGAATCACTGAGAGCCGACAGGGAGCTCAAGAGGAATGCAGGGAACCAGAACCGGTGCCAGGAGAACACCCGCTTCATGCACAGCGGAGAGCCTCCCCTCCCCACCCAGCCAGGGGCTGCAGAGGAACCTGGATCAGATATCATTAGAACAATAAGCAACCACGGACACAAGGACGTTTGGGACTTCTGTGCCTCTTCTCCTGCATTAACAAGGGTAATTGCTCAGTGACTGGAGGCAGGCCTGCCATGAGAAAGCTGGCTGTTGGCCCCATGGGGAGAGCGCCAGGCCAGGATGACACGCCTCGAATCCCCGTCTTCCCTCCACTTGCTGGATGGCCCTGGACAGGTCACTCGGGGCTGCTGTCCTTCTGGCAAATGAGAAGGTTGGACCGGACAGTTCTGACATTGGAGGATTCTGTGATGTTCTTGGCTCAGCCCTCTCTGGGGTTCTGTGGTCGGCCAGTCACAATCCTCTCCTGGGGTGGTACAGCCCCTGAGACTTGGGGAGCTCAGGGCCAAGACAGCCAGGCCCCAAACATCCACTACTACTTCAGAGTGAACTTGATTAAAGCCCCCTCCTCCCTCCAACCAGAGCGGGCCACATCTCAGTGCGGGTCCTGCAGAACACCAGCACTGTTTCCTCGGATGTGGACGTGCTGACACGCAAGGCTGTCTGACAGCCACTTGGCTGCAAAGCAGGCTTTGAGATGTATCTGAAGGCTGCAGACACCAAAGCTGCCCGGAACCCCATGTCAGGCTAGATCTCATCTCAGCATGGCATGGAGCAGACAGGGCCACACGGCAGCAGGTTGACAAATCTAATCCGTGTTGAGTGAACGACTTGGTAGGTGTGGACAGAGAGATAGAGACACTGGGGAGCTGTCGGCAGGTCAAACTCCCCAGGACCACCGGAAACTCCCAATACCAAGTCTACTGGACAAGGTGCGATGCATGATACTTTGACACAAAACTCGCAAAATGCCCACGACCCCCTCCCTGACATTCCTGCCTGGCAGACAGATGAACCACCTCACCCCCAGCATATCAGGCCTGGGCTTCAGTTCATGCCATCAGTTCAGGCTCAGACTCAGGAGACTAGGAGAGCAGAAGCTGTGGCGAGGTCAGGCCGCAGGGTGACCCCAGGCATCTGCCCTCAGAAGACAAGATGTGCTCTCCCCTACCCGGCCGGCGTGGCTCAGTGGTTGAGCATTGACCTGTGAACCAGGAGGTCACGGTTTGATTCCTGGTCAGGGCACTTGCCCGGGTTGCAGCTGATCAATGATTCTCTCTCATTGGTGTTTCTCTCTCTCTCTCTCTCTCTCTCTCTCTCTCTCTCTCTCTCTCTCTCTCTCCCTCCCTCCCTTTCCTTTCTCCTCTGAGATTAATAAAAATAAACAAACAAAAAAGATGTGCCCTCCCCAGGATCTGCCACCATAGACAATCCCCACAGCGTCATGAAGGAAGCGATATGACACTTGTCAGGGGGCGTAGCAGCTCCCACTGTGGGATTCTGAGGGCAGGAAGAAGGCCCACTTCACTGGACACGGTCCTCCACCAGGTGGATGCCACCCAGTGGGTACGATGTGAGGCTGCACGGCAGAGGAAGGAGCACGGCTCTGGGGAGCACCTCCCCTTGACTGTTCCTGCCTATATGGCCCTGGGCTACTGACGTAAGAGGCCTGAGCCTCCGCTTCCCTGCAGTAGGAACAGCACCTGCCCTGCAGGCTGAGGGACAGAGCCAGGCATCCAGCAGAGGAGGCTCAGTCAGCACCAGGCCTGCGGGCTTGCTTTCTGGCCCACGAGGAAAACACTTCCACAGGGGACGGAGGAATTCATTTCACAACCCAGGGGAGAAAATAAGGGGCACACTTGCAGCCCTTTGTCCACTTTTACTCAGTGACTTGATGAGATGGGAGGACTCTGACACCCACTGTACTACACTCATCAGTCAGAAGCCTAATTTATTACCTGTCCCCACAGGTGTGGCCTCTCTCTCCCAGCTCTTCCTGCTGCAGCCTGCAGCAACATTACTACCCAAACCCTCACTGAGTGGTGAGTCAGCCAACTGTCCCCGTGGGTGGAGGCCAGCAGGGGGAAGAAGTTTTGGGGGAAGAGGTCATGCCAGTTCCCAAAAAGAGAGCCGGTACCTATCTGAGTTTATCTTCCCACTGATTCAATGGGAGGAGGGGAAGAGATAAGACTCAGTAGCCCTCTCAAACCCTAAAGGTTAGAGCAGTCAGCCTATTATTTTCTCATTAATGCAGCCAACAAACATTCACTAAATAAACCGTAGGTCCTGGGGATCCAGATTCCTTGTCACAACTAAAGGCTCACACAGCCTCTGAGTTCCTTCACCCCAAACACGATCAAAGGGTCGGAGCCCCAAATGGCTCCCCAGTTAGAGAATTGGTCTGTGTACCAGGCATAAGCTCAATTATGAGGCCATGGAAGACCTGAGTGCTAGCGCAGAATAAAAGCACAACTGTGTTTCATTAAAACCAACAGCTAAAGAATCCTGAAGTTCCTCGCCTAGGACCCAAGAGGCCATCTAACCCGACTCCCCCACCACAAATCTGAACTTCACAGCTATGCGTTTCCTCCCTCCCTCCCCCACTAACTGCCATGACACCTACAGGAACCTAACTTTTTCCACCCAGCTTCCCATTTTGTGACGATAATGCCCACGCTGGCATCGCTGCCCACCGTGATGAGGAGGATGGGCACGCTGCCAGACAGCCTGGGAGTGGGTGAGATGGATGGCACATTCAAGTGCAAACTGAGAGGAACCTACTCTTTGTTAGGGATGAACAGGTGTCATTATACTGATCCTGTGGTTATACCAGGATCCTGCTTGTGACGTGTGCTATCTACTGACATACACTGTTTTAGTCTCGCTTAACCAATGTGTTGAGTCCTGAGGGTTCGGACATGAGCCAAAGGAGGGGGTTCATGTCCTCAAGGGTCTGTGTAGGCAGGACAATCCTTAAGCAATTCACAGGTAGGCAGTTAAAAAGACCCCTCCAAGGAGAAACAAAAGGGGGTGAAACCAACCAGTGAGTGTTATAAAGAGAATGACCTGGGGTTAAAGTACGGAGCACTCTAGGCAGAGCCAGGTCTCCTAGGAAAAGAGGCACAGGCAGGCACACCCCTGGGGCCAGCGAGGTGTCTGTGGGGAGGGCAGGTGGGGCGACACAGTGATCAACATGAGCTGAGAGAGGCTGTTGTCATGGTGAACAGCCCCACGTCAGGCAGGACCACCAGAACCCCACAGAAGAGCATCAGCTGGGGAGGCATGGTCACCAGGGTGGGACTGGGAGGGGCCTTTGCTCAAAGAACTTCTCAGGAAGAGGGACTTTCAAGAGTCAACAGAACCCCAGTGCCACAGCCCATGATACCCAGCCAAGCCACAGAACCGCCCAGGCACACCCACCTCCCACTACCCACAGCCCCTCTTTCTCCAGCTGTCAAGCATCTGGCTGTCATGAGGGGCATGTGATGGTCACTGAGTCCCAGCTGTACGGGCCTCACACAGGCTCTGGTCCATCGTTTCCTAATCAGTGGGTCAGGACCCACTAGACTACAGGGGTGGCTCAGACGGGAGATATCTGAGGCTTTGGGGGACATACTGTCACTACTCAACTCTGCTTGGAAGCAGCCACAGACAATGTGTAAACAAACGGATGTGGCTGTGTTCCAACAAAAATTAATTTACAAAAAAAGGCAGCCAGCCTAGGGGCCAGAGTTTGTCGACCCTTTATTAGAGGGTTATGAAGTAGTTGGAAGAACCAATGACTTCTTTTAAATAAAACAGAATAAAAAAGAAAATATCAGTGGGTACTACATCTGGTAGAGTACGTAGCAAAGGTTAGTATGATTCTGTGAAACTTTTGTTTCAGCTTGTTTACATGTAATTTATGTATACTTATAGTACTGAATTTTAATGAAAAAATTTTAATGCTGTGAAATACGTCAAAAGTTTGAAGGCCATTGCTCTGATCCAACCCCTTCTTTTCCAAAACTAGAAGCCGAGGAACAGGGAGGTGAAGGACTTGACCAAGTCCCCCAGCTCACTGGCAGTACACCTGGGGTTAGGACCCAGGTGTTCTGGTTGTCATCTTAGTGGTCCTTTGCTATTCCCAATGGCCTCTTGCTGAATCCAGAGACTGAACCATTTTCTCCCTGGTCCTGACTCCCGTCTCCTCCCAGGTGGCACCAGCAGAGGTGTGCAGGAGCTCGGAGCTGGAGGAGTAGCTGCCCAGCAGCTGCCAGGAGCCAGCAGGGCTCCAGGTGGTGAGCCGCGGCAGCACCTTGGAGAGCGCACCGAGACTTTGGCGAGGCTTCACCGGGCACAGAGCTGGCAGGGAAGGGGCTTCAGGCCCCCGGGAGGCAGAGGGGCAAGGGAAGGTATCTGAGAGGAGACCTGAGTTGTGGCTGGGTGGACCTCGGGGTGAAGAGGGCAGAAGAATGCCGATTTCAGCAAGGGAAAAACTGATGTAGAAGCAGGAGGGAGAAAAGCCAGATGAAATGGCCAAAATGAAGGACAAGAGGCACAGATGGTGAGATGGGATGAGCAGCGTGACTTGGGTTCTAAGTGAGAAACCGGGGGCCTGTTCCCAGTCTCCCCGCCCCACAACCCCCAGCTGCCCCGCCAAGAATCTGAGTAACAAGCTCTGGCCCAAAGGAGAACAGTCACTCACACGGGGCATAAAACATCATCAGCAGCGGCTTCTCTTCCTTCTTCAGGAGCCGTCTGAAGTCCTGAGGCACAAGCAGAGAACACCACAGGTCACACACTCCACCGTAACAGAGGCCCATCCCCCAGGGACCACAGTGCTGGGAGGGGCAGGCGAGCACTGCAGAAATCCCACTGTCAGATTTGGGGGCTGGGGGTAAGAGTCATGGCGTGTCAGGAGCCAAAAGAACCCCAGAGACCATCTCTTCTGAACCACCCTTGCATATTACAGATGGGGAAACTGAGGCCCCGAGCAGACAAATGGCTTTCCCACGGCCACCTCCTGGGATGAAGGAGTCGGGACCAGGCTACCAGCTTTACTTTCAGGTGGACTGAACAATTAAACGTCTACAGGGAGCTTTTCATGCTGCATGAGGCTGTCGACCAAGCTGCCCCTTCTCACGTGGGCTATAGCGGTTGTGCTGTGATGGGTGGTTGTTTTCACGTAGGCCTGACATGTCAGACAGGGATCTGGAACATGGGGTTAACTCACACCTGCTAATCTATTCCACCAGCCCCAGCCTGGCCCCCACTACCCATGTCCCCAGAGCCCGCTGTGAGCATAGGACAAGACATGCCCTCCACCCCCAGGAGGTTACAAGCTACACTGACCATGGGTATTTGTAAAACCCGTAGAGAACAGTGCCCGGCCCACTGTTAGGCAATACAAAATTCTTGGTTGAATAAATACAATCAATGTAAAAAGACGAAGGCCACAACAGTGCTAATGGAGAGCCTTCTGCGAGAGCAGGGCAGGAGACCTTTCTTCCCGCGAGAGCCAACGGTGTTCAGGAAAAGGCAAATCTATTAAGGACGGCAAAGAAGCGCCATGACAGAGCATATTTTGATTAAGATAAGCTCCTCTAACCAGTTTCCACAGGAGAAAATTAGAGGTTTTTCTGTTCTGAACAATAAGGAAAATAAGAGGAAATTTCAAAATGCTGCTTTCTGGCAGCAACAAGACGTTAGGTAAATAGATGGTGGTACTACAACCGCACAATAGAATATTGCTGCATCACTGCAAACTATGAAGAGGGGTATTAAATGTCACAATAAGATGTGCAGGTTACATTAAGTGGGGTGGGGGAGCAAGTTACAAAACAGCATATAACAGCTAATGAAACTTTTGTTAATATTTATGTACCGCATTATGTTGAAAGCCTAAAAGACTACAGGAAATACCAGCAGTGGTATCTCTAAGGGAAGGGATGGAGTGATATTTTTCTTTCTTTTACCCTTAAGCTATATTTTCTAAAAATTCAACCATGAATACACATTACTTACAATTTTTCAGCTAGATAGAGAAGATTACAAATATTTTATGGGAATTTAAAACATTTTATAATAAATTCTGAAAATGTTTACTCTTGTTTATATAACTAGAGAGCGAAGGCACTCATTTTTTAAATTTTTATTAAATTTATTCAGATGACATTTGTTAATAAGATAAGTTTCGCTGTAACCGGTTTGGCTCAGTGGATAGAGTGTCGGCCTGTGAACTGAAGGGTCCCGGGTTCGATTCCGGTCAAGGGCATGTACTTTGGTTGCGGGCACATCCACAGTAGGAGGTGTGCAGGAGGCAGCTGATCAATGTTACTCTCTTATCGACGTTTCTAACTCTCTATCTCTCTCCCTTCCTCTCTGTAAAAAATCAATAAAATATATTTTTTTAAAAAAAGAAAAGGCAGAGCTATTTCTTAAAAGAAAAAAGAAAAGATACGTTTCAAGTGTACAATTCTATAATATGTCATCTGTATGTTGCATAGTGTGTTCACCACCCAAAGTCAAGTCTCCTTCCATGACCATACATTGGGCCCCCTTTACTTTTTTAAAAAAATATATTTTTATTAATTTCAGAGAGGAAGGGAGGAGAAAGAGATAGAACATCAATGATGAGAGAGAATCATTGACCAACTGCCTCCTGCATGCCCCCTACTGGAGATCGAGCCCATAACCCGGGCATGTGCCCTTGACTGGAATCGAACCCGGGACCCTGCAGTCAGTAGGCCGACACTCTATCCACTGAGCCAAACTGGCTAGGGCTACTTTTTATTTTTTAATTGATTTTTAGAGAGAGAGGAATGGAGAAGGAGAAAGAGAGAAACATCAATGTGAGAGTGAAGCATCCATTGACTGCCTCTTACACCCCCCCGACTGGGGACGGAGCCCACAACCTGGGCATGAGCCCTAACAGGGAATCAAACCAGCAACCTTTTGTTGCACAAGAAGACATGCAACTAACTGAGCCATACTGGCCAGGGCTGGCCCCCTTTACTCTTTGCTACCTCTCCCCACTCCTCTTTTCCCTGATAAGCACCATACTGTTGTCTGTATCTATGAGCTTTTCCTTTGTTTGTTGCTTTCTGTTTTATATGCATGAGTGAAATCATATGGTTCTTGTTTTTCCATCTGACTTATTTCACTGAGCATGATATTCTCAACATTCATCAATGTTGTCAAAAATGGCAGTATTTCATCTTTCCTATGGCCGAGTAGTATTCCATTGTATATACATATACACCACATATTCTTTATTCACTCATCTATCAAAGGACACTTAGTTTGTTTCCATGTCTGGCCAAAAGGCACTCATTTTAAGACAGAATTTGTAACCCAATCTTTGACCCTGACTTGGGATGGAGGCTGCAAACACTTTGAAAATGATCTGGAATCCGTACAGATAAAACCTGGTAAAAGGTCTGAGAAGAAACGTTTTTCTGAGCCTGTCACAATTTGGTTTCATTTCCTGAGTAATAACAAATATTACTTTACATTCAAAGATGCTTAGTTACCTTCAGTAAGGATGGATTACAAGTATGAATCGGCAATTCAACTTGCATTTGGAACTTTTAGTTATTTCATGTGGGGATGTGATTAGCGAAAAAGCAGCTGTATCTATATTTCTACATGAGAGAAGATGGCAGAAAGTATAACAAGAGGACTGTCTACAGACGTGAAAAAATATTTGCTTAATATTTCTAGTCACAGAAGAGCAATCTTAGGAGCCTGAGGACGTGCACATCTTGGGGAGGGAGGCACCAGGGTATCACTGGCCAGGGGCTAAAACTGCATATTATCACAAGGTCTACCCAGGAGCAACATCTTTTTGAGCTGTTTGTTGTTGCATAGCTATAGGCACAGGTGCCACCAACTCCTGGCACTTGACATGCTTCTTAAAAAGGAAAGAGAGTCAAGGCTGTATGGAGACGATAAATCAGTACCTCCAACCCCCCCCCCCCCCCCAATCCTGGCCAAACCCAGAAATTGAAGCTTAAAGAGGGTAAACAATTTGTTCAAAGTTACACCATGCCTCAGAATATTAGAGACCTGACCCAAGCCTCTGGAAATATAACCCAAACCTCGCAGATGATTCATTAAGAACAACAACAAACTCAAACCCACTTTTTTAAAAAGCAAAAAACACAAAGTCGATTCCAGCAGCAACCAGATTACATAACAAGGAGAGGACATTTAAATAGATATTCCTATAAGGAAACTCTAAACATGTTAAAATACATTAAGAAAGAGTTCATGGAGGAAGCTCCCAGGCAGCCTGTGAGGCTGGGGAGGAGCATTGGAGAGGAGGGTCCTGGCTCAGCTCCCCTGGGGAAAGCACAGCTGGTCAAGAACACTCCGCTTCTCAGCTGCTTGGGCACCTGTCCCTGGGGGGCCATGGTTCAGGGGACACTTCCAGCGACAATCAGAACGGATGGGGAATATGTTACCTTTTCACTGTCAATGTGAACCACATCTTTGGCTCCAGGATCTTCCTCCCACAGCGGGGGCCCTTTCGGATCCTTCAGAAAGGCCACTATGGACTGAGGAAAAGAAGACAGAAGGCAAAACTCAATTTAGCCAGGAAGAGGGAGGTGGGGGAGACGGGAATCTGCCCGTTTCCCTGCCTGGAGACCCAGGTGCCTGGAAGGGAACTGCATGCGGCCTATGGGCATACACTTGGGAGTGTGCCATTCTGTCGCCCACTGACGTCACTGTGAAGGCCCTAAAAATGCACCCCCTCCACCGGGCCATTTTTCAGCCACATGACACTTTACTCTGGATCCATACCTACTGTGCTTCTCCATGGAACCAAACAAGGAAATTTGAGACAATCAGTTGGCTTATTCAAACCAGAGATACATTCTGCTAAATCCCACCTCCTCCAGGAAATCTCCCTGATGGGTTTGAATAAAGGTCTCCAGCCCTGCCCAGAGCAGGTACTTTCACTTTCATGCAGCCACTAAAAGCGTTCACCACGTTCACCACGTAAGTAGGTAACCACACCTACTTGTAACCTGCCTGGTATTTCATGATCTCAACTGGGTGAGAGAGTGTTAACCCTGACCCTCCTCTGTGGAGCTTGGGATGGGAAGCCCCAGAACAGGGGGCCCATCTCTGTGGCCTGGTTGCTGTACTTCTCTCCTTGGACTCCTGTCTAGACGGTCCAGGACTGAAGGCCGGACAAAGAGCTTCAGGTACAGGGCTGAAGTAGCCTCTGTCACGTGGACAACCAACTCCGGTCTCTGCTTCCTTTGGGAAGGACACCGTGGGGCGGGGGCCAGGGGGCAGGTCCCTCCACCCGCCTCCGACCTGCCACACGTCACTGGTCCAGGACACCCACAGCATACCCTTTCCCCTGTCACTCTGAGAAATGGTGCTCAAAGTCTGAGAAGCAGGAATGGGTACCAGAAACTAGCCAGGCCTCCATCCTTCCACCCTGGAGGGAGCTGCCGGCCTCTGTGGCAACAGACAGAGACCTCAGTATCCCCCAATTTGATGCAAGATTCTGCTGCTCCTGTCCACTCTGCTCAAACTCCAATGAGCACGGGATGAATCAGGTGTGTCCCTGTGTATGTTGGGGGAGGGAGGGAGGTCTGGGGTGAGACAGGGAAAGACCCTCTCAGGGAGGCTACGTGTGAGGCTCATTTCTGGAAACTGCTATTTCGAAGGAGCTATTATAGGAGAATGGGGCACAGCCAAGACTCGGAAGGATTTCATTCAGGTAATGCTCCCTGTCCATCCAAACGGAGCTCCGAAACACCTCCTGGCAAGAGGAGGGCGTTTCCACCAAAGGCAGATGGCATTTCCCCAGTCCCTTGTCTAAGCTACACTGCGACAGTACAGGCCAAAATGGAACCGCAGGGCCTTCCCGAGACCCACGCTCACCCGCAGCTGCAGGGGCACCTGTTCACTGGGACACAGAGAGATGCTGCAGGTTTCCACCTGCGCACTGGTGCAGGGTTCTCAATCTAGGGTGCACGGTGGGCTTCAAGAGCCTGTGAAACCCCAGACTCATGTGAACACACTTACTTTAATGTATGCTCACACTCTGATTGTGAGGAGGTCTGGGACTTTCAGGTGGACTATCAGTGGGCGAGGAACCCAAACTAGGCAGGACTCTGGGGGGCTCCTGTCCCCTACCAGCATGAGCTGAGTTAAAGGGTTAGCGCAGTATCCCATTCCCCTACCCCCTCCTCAGCAGCAAGGAAAAAGCATGAAATAGCCTCTTTTAATGTATTAATTGAAACATTCACACTTGCAATCTTTTGCTTTCAGGTAGAGATTATTCTCCTTTAACTAAAGTTGAATAATCCCATTCATAGGTTCTCTTCAAACTGTTCTAACCAACAAGAACTTGGGTGGGAAAGTGTGTAGGGAGCAGCCCCTGACCCCACCCTCAGCCGTCTTATTCTGGGTGCTCTACATCCCAGGGAAACGGCCCAACACCGGCACCTTGGTCTTCAGGATGAGTTCATGGCTACAGGACCTTGAAGAAGGTCATCAGAGAGCCATCTGCATCTCGGTTTCGAGGCACCTTTGGTCCTCACCACTTAAACATAGGAAGGATTTTGCTGGACAGACTTCTGACAAGCAGAAGGCCCCTTAAACAAGAAGTTTCCTCTTGGAGTTTCCTGCTCTTTACCCTCATTTATCTGGCCTCTGGCCTCTTCAGGGGCCAGGGTACAGTCGGGATAGTTGCTGTGACCAGGCCTTGTGCAGGAGGACAGCAACAGCAGTCAGAGCATGAGCCGAGCTGTGCCCACCCTACCTCTCTGGGGACAGGGGCCCAGGAGAAGCCCCGAAAGCCTCCCGTGACCAGGGAGGGCCTTTGTCTCGCCACTCCTGCTTAGAAGCAGAAGCTGTCAGGCAGTCCCTGGAACACTACCCCTGCCCTGGAGAATGTCAGGGGCTCTACCCCAATCCATATGGTCCTGTGGGCTTTGGGGACCCTGGGACCAAGGATTTCCTCTCTCCATTAAAAACTGACCCTGTACAAGGCGCAGCCCACCTCTCTGGCTTATTGACATAAAAAATCACAGAAGGACAAGATCGCACACTCCTAGTCTTTGTAAAGAGGTGGACAAAGGCCAGGACTTGGCCACCCCACCCAGGCCAGCTCAGACCTCCGGGGCTCCTTGCTCCATTCCTGTTATGACAATTCTGAGCAGCGGCCATCCCCTAGCACACACTCACAGCGCAGACTTCTCTGAGGCTGGCTAAACATGCACTGAACACAACCTCCAGAACAAAACAAAGCCTCCCCTTTCCATCACTGCAGAGGCACCTCCCCACCCCACCGAGCTAAACCTTGCTCCTGGGGAGCACGTGTTCTCTCCAAAGACTTCAGTGGAAGTCTTCACACAGAGTAAGAGGGGTTAAGCAACTCCAGTTGGTAGCATTGTCTCTAAGTGTCTAAGTGGGTGTTAAAATGAGTAATCAGGCTGAGTCTGTGTCAGGGAAGAGCTGCAGCAACTGAAAAGGAAGCAGCGTTAGTGGATAAACAAGAGATGGCAGGGAAGTGGGGGGAAGGGGCAGTGACAGCTGCTCAGACTGGATAGGAAGGGATGGAAGGAGACACCGGTGGAGACAGGCAGAGAGAGAGGAGTACAGGGTCGAATCCAGTCTGGGAAGCAGGAAAGTCAGAATGCATGGAATTGGCAGATTTGGGAATGGGAGAAATGTGCGGCCCCAGCCAGGGCAGGGGATGTGGCCTGGACCACAGGTAGAAGAAGCTGGTTTGAGGAAGGGAATGCATATGGCGAAGGAGCAGAATCCAAGGGCAGGAGAAGGGCGCGGGGCGGGGCAGGGCAGCGGCTTGATGGTCACAGGACAGCACCTGCAGGTCACGGGCTCTCCACACTTATGTTCACTGATGTTTTTCCATCCGCTTCTAAATTGGATTTGGAGCAAGGAAAATCTCGGTGACATCGGCATCTCATCTGGAACAAGCTGCATCAACCCACATGTGCCACCCTGCCGGTGTCCTGCAGAGCGTGCTAACCTGGGCACAGCCAGCCCCCTCCAGCCCATGGGCAGCCACTGTCGACACTGCGGCAGAGGTGGGGGAGGGGGCCTTGAGGCCACAGGGAGGGGAGACCAGGCCTCTGGAGGGGAGAGGCTTGACGTCACTGCTGATGGAAGCACAGACTAGCTGTGAGGCTGGTCATCCTTATTGTGCTAAGAGCTACAAACTTCCACAGATATTTTGCTGACATGCGCTCGAGAGATAAGACTCCCTCAGGTCCTCCAGAAGAGCTATTTGTGCTCTCTGCCCTTCCTTCTCTCAGAGAGAAGCTGCCAGACTTTTGGCATCCATTCAGATACAGCTCTGCTGAGAACGAGGGAGGTAAATTTACCTTAAATGTCACAGCTCGGTTATATTCAGTGTGAAATGCACCGTCCCTGTCAAAAGAGAGAACAAGGTGTTAACTACAGGAGTGGTTGTGAAGAGACCTACCTTTGGTTTCCTGCAGCATCTTAATAAGATTCAGCTATTGAACAGAGTTCAAGATGTTTTTAAATGAAATAACTGTAAACAGGAAAAAAAAAATCATTCCGGAATAAAATTGATCTACCTAAAATCGCTGTGCACTGAGAATACCAATGAAAGCTTTCAGCACTTACTTGGAAATTGGAAATGACCACGTGTACTTACTGGTAATGGAATAATTCGACCTTTTTGTCCTTTGGGCTCAGGTCAACTTTCATCTTCTTGCACAATTTTCTACTCTCTGTGTCACTGAAAGACACAAACGCCGGGAACCATCGGTAACCTGTGGTCCCCACAGAGGTGTTGACAGAGTAAAATCTGCTGGTAGCCTCAGAATAAGGCAGGTAACTTGGACTTCTCCATAGCGAGAGAGGACCTCACTGGAGACGGATTCTCAGAGAACCGGAGGGAGGAGAGGACCCGATGCGAGGTGGCTGATCAGGAAAGATGGGCCGGCAGGCGGGGAGGCTGTACCACTGGGTGTCAGGGACAACCCAGGGAGGTCCAGGTAAAGGAAGTGCCCCAGAAGCTTACGGGGTGGACAGCCCATTCTAAGAAGAAAAATACACGCAGTATAGATCAGTGGTTCCCAATCCTGGCTGCGCATTACAAGCTCCTGGGGAAGTTTAAAAAATACTGATTTCCTGGGCCTGCCCAGATCATTCCTTCAGAGTCTCTGCCTGGGGCCCAAGTACGTTTGTTTTTCAGCTCTAATGTGTGCCATATGCCACCTGCTATAGACCATCTGACCAGGAAAAGAGGAAAGCGTTCTACGATGCTGAAAGCATTATGACATCTGACCAGGTACGGACAAAAGCCAAAAGGAGAAAGAGGAAGCTTCGATGAAGGGCTGGAGTCTGTAATCTCGCCCTCTCGCAATTCTAATAAAAAATGTCTGTTGGGTGCTGTTCACTGTGTACAAAGGCACCATCTCATCTAGTCCTTCCTGCCAGACTCATGGGCCTCCAAATGTGGCCCCTGACCAGCAGCCCAGCCTCACTCAGGAACCCGTTAGAAATACAAACTGTCATCCCCCTCTCAGACCTTCTGAATCAAAACTCTGAGAATACTGGTGTTTCTGGTGTTGTTTTTGTAAAATATTTTTATTGATTTTTAGAGAGGAAGGGAAAGGGAGAGAGAGACATTGATGTGAGAGCAAAACATTGATTGGCTGCCTCCTGCATGCCCCTACCAGGAATTGAGCCCCCATATAAGCATGTGTCCTGACTGGGAATCAAACCAGCAACCTTTCGGTGCACGGGAGGATGCCCAACCAAGCCACACCAGCCTGGGCTGCGTATACTGTTTTAAGGAACCTTCCAGGTGATCTGATGATGCCACCATCCTGCACTGGCTCTTCCTCTCCCCAATCTCCAGGTGTGGCTTCCTGGTGCCCTCCACTAGCCCCCTCAGAGACCTTATCTGCCCTCATACACAACCTCACCACACTCAGCCAAGTGTGCCCAACAGCCAGCCAAAGGCAGCCAGCCACCCCATCCCCGCCCCTGCTCCTTGCTGCAGGGCCCTCTCCTCATTCTGCGTGGAATCAGTGAGGGTATGTTGGTCACCCAACCTCCACTGGTCTCTGCTGACTGTCTATGTGGCATGAGAAACTTTGTTCTGCCAGGTATGACAGCCACCTGAGGGAAGTCCCTTCACCTCCCACCTGTTTACATACCTCACCACCTTCTACAGCCATCAGCTTCCCACAGCTGTGCACCAGCCCCAGAACAGATGGACTAATGACACCATTCAGCTCAATTCTAAAAGCAACGCTCTTCAATGCACAAGCAGAATTGTGGGGCCTCATTTTAAATGTAAATATACGATCTGCAATTCAGGAAGCATGGCCTTTCCCTCCCCACTCAGTCCTGCCTGTGGCGGCCATCACAGTGGCCACTGCAGCTTGCAGCCACAGGCCTCAGAAATGCATGATGAATCCAAAAAGGAGAGGCTAATGGCATTGCGATGGCTGCTCCTCCAAGGTGGTGAGGGCATTTTAAAACAGGGAGTCCAGAAAGAAGGGATAAACTGGGGTGGGAAGGAGACCCAGAGAGCCGAGGGCATAGCTCAGAAGGCCACTGGAGGGGCAGCCCGCGGCATCCTTGCTGGAAACTCTACCCTAAAGCCCCGTGGGGATGCCATACCCGCCTCCACCCACTACGGCTACCACAGCCTGGTCTGCCCATCCCGCAGGCTGAGGTGAAGCCACGCTGACAGGCAGCAGGTTCGATTGGGAAGAACTGTGTCTGAGGTGCCCTTTCCCTGCCTGAGTTAATTCCCCAGAAGAGAGGGCTCGACTCAGGATGCTGACAACTGCTCACTCAGCACTTTCCGAGGCCAGCTTCGTTCTGCTGCGCTCAACTGTGCCTGTGACCACCTACCGTCCACTCAACTGCAACGACAAACAGCGTCAGGAGCCAAAACCAAGTCCCAGTGGGCCCACCCTGCCACGCCCGTGGTGGGCACTCCGACTGCAAGGCAGCCTCTGCAGGGGAGAAATGCCACCCCATGCTGGCTCTCTCTTCTGCCAAGTTGGCAAGCCTCTTCCTGTGACTTTCATGAAGCAGAGAGAGAAGTGGCAGGGCTCAGAGTCATTGCAACCCAATCCCTGCCTGCGGGCTGACCCCCTCCCTGGGAAAGTCTGCCGCAGCCTGAGACCCCCGTGAGCCCAGCAGGCTTAGGAGCAATGCTGCCAACCCACCAAACAACGTGGCTGGTGGATGTGGGAGGCCAGCGGTCCTCCAGCCTGTTTCTCAGTGTGGATCCTGCAGCCTGTGGCCCCCACTCCAGTCAAGCCAATCACAGCTCTGTCTGTGCCACAGGACTCCCTGCTGCAGACTCCACACAACCCTCTTCCCTCCTTAGGTTCTAGAGCAGCCGTGGGCAAAGTACGGCCCGCGGGCCGGATCCGGCCCGTTTGAAATGAATAAAACTAAAAAAAAAAAAGACCGTATCCTTTTATGTAATGATGTTTACTTTGAATTTATATTAGTTCACACAAACACTCCATCCATGCTTTTGTTCCGGCCCTCCGGTCCAGTTTAAGAACCCATTGTGGCCCTCGAGTCAAAAAGTTTGCCCACTCCTGTTCTAGAGACACTGATCAAGGATTCTCTCCTCTCCCCTGCCCCTACACACACACACACACACACACACGAATGCAAATGCACACATTCTTAGAGGGGTGACACATTCTTCCTGTCCCCTCTGAGCACCTCCGCCACCCCCTCCAGCACTCCCTTCCCTGCTGTCTCTCTCGGCCATGCATCTCCACATCTGGCAAATGCATCTCCACATCTGGCCAATGTGTGCACTGACTGTCGCCCCATCAAAAATGTTTGCTCCATGAGGGCGAGGGCTTTGTGTATTCAGACTGCTTCCCCAGGGTTACAACAGCAGCTGGCACGGAGTGGGCCCTCTGTAATCACCCGAGTGAACGAGGCCCTGATTGACGCTGTCCTGCCACTGCTGGGAGGAGCCCTGCACTGCTGGCTTCCTGGGCTCTGGGCTCTGTCCGCTGAGCTCCAGGAATCCCGCCAGGTGACACTTCCTGATGGTGCTCTCTCAGGTCGGCTCGCCTCCCTCCAGCAGTTGTTTGTGTGTGTGTGTGTGTGTGTGTGTGCGCACACACACACTAATCGTGCAGTACAGACAATATAAGTCATAAGAGTTCAAGAAGGAGAGAGAAATTACCAACCTCAGGGACTTAGAAGGATCTTGGTTGAGGGATTAGACACAATTAATTGATCTTCTGGCTACCTCCTGCTGTCCCTCTCTTCCCCTGCCAGGGACTGAGCCTCTGGAGGGGGGAGGAGACATGAGCAGGGAGCAAGGGAACAAGATGCTTTGCTGGAATGGAGAGGGAGGCAGAAAACCACCATGCATCATGGAGAGTGGACTGGCCGTGCAAAGGGCCTCCCCTGCCACTCTGTCTGCTGGAGATGCAGGAGCCCAGCCTCCCTCTGCCCAGGTACTCACCCACCTCCCCTGGCTCTCCTCTACAGAGAATGTGGACAGATTTCAGAGGCCTGTGCACACTTTGCACACTTCCCCCCTAACCCTGGCCCTGACAGATGCGTGCACATAGACATTTCCTTTGGATTTGCTGGGGAGTGGCTGGCTGGGAGTGCGGAGTGGCTGCAGTGGGTGTGTGGAGCCATGCTGATCATCCAGGAGGTTGGCCACGCCCTCTCCTGGGGGTCAGACCCAGAGATGATGGAGGGGTGAGGGAGGCAGGAAGAAATGGGTACTGGAGGCTCAGGAAGGGGGGATGTGGCTTCCACAAGTCGCAGTCTGAGTCCCAGACCCTCCCTGGAGGCAGGCCCACCTGCCAGCTGGAGTGACTGATGGCTTCCAGATCTGGCTCTGCCATTCGCCAGCCTGTGACCTCTGGCGGGGCCTTGGTTTCCCGAGCTGCAAAATGTAGGAGTTGGGCAGATGAGCTAATGGAGCCTCCAACTCCTCTATGGGGTCAAGTATTACTGCCTATATTCTAACGGATGAACCAGGAGCCAGGACCCAGGACAGAGGTGGAGACTCAGAAAGATCTGAGCCTCCGTCATCTCTCTCCCAGCCCCCTGACCAGATCCTCACTCCTGCTCATGCCCACACAAAGCCGGGCAGCCTCAGCAGCGGGAAGAAAGCACACCACACTAAGAACCTGGCCTTGGCCCCTGCCTGTCTTGGCCACCGGGTACCCTTGGCTAACGCAGCTTTCCTGGGTTCCATCTCCCCATCAAAGAAAGGGTACATCTCTTTCTCCCATCTACCTCATCTGACATGGCGGGATCCCGAGCAGATGGGCCTGTCACCCCTGAGGTTGGTGGGAGAGGAGAGGTAGAAAGTGCCCTCACTTCAGAGACATAAAAAAATGGAAGCTAAGGAGCAAATGAGCAAGAAATACTGTCAGAGTGACTTCTAGATGCCAAATACCAAGGGCAATATGAACAGATGTAACTGGAGGACACGGGTGGCAGACAGAACAGTCCTGGAACAGCTGGCCTTAACCTTGGGCACACACTGGTGGCCAGGTAGTGCTCTCTGATGAAGGGGCCTGCTGCATATAGCAGGGATCCTCCCAGGTCTGGCTGTCCCTACCTCAAGAAGGCACAGGGTAAAGTATGAATTACACAGCACAGCTAGTAAAAGTGATGGGAACAGAGGGAGATAAGTGTGCCTTCTCCTCCTCCACCTGCCTCCCTAGCTCCTCAGCGGGGGCTGTGCCACCCCAAGGAGTGCCCGCTAACGGGCTGGGAAGTGTCTGAAGACACATCAACACAGCTCTCGCCTGGGAGTCTTCTCTAACGCACAGTAAGTCTCGTTAGACATGCTTACATAGAAAGGAGCAAATGCTAAACTCAAATATTCTTTAGAAGAAAAGCTAAGACTTCAAAATATGTTATGTCCACGGTGGCAGGCCCTAAATCCTGGATCTGGGAAGACAGCGCTGCTCCAGGGGAAATAAGGCAGATGGGAGACAGAGCAGGGGAGAAGGAAACTGTGGTTAGGTAATGACCTTGACCCTCAGAAAAGAAAGCAGTGAGCAGGGAGAGGGCAGCCTCAGCCCGATGAGAATCCGCCCCAGGAATTAGCATCCCAGGCCCAGCTCCCGCCTGCTGGCCCCGGCTCAGCTGCCCAGACAGCAGCACTCCACGCCAAGGCCGAGCCTGATGCCAGGCTGCGGGGCACGGAGAGAATACCATCTCTCTCTCTCTCTCTCTCTCTCTCTCTCTCTCTCTCTCTCTCTCACACACACACACACACACACACACACACACACACACACACACACACTTAGCCAGACAACCACCAGCAGCCAACCCGAGCGTGGCTGCTGAGGCCTGAGCCAGGAGGTGGAGTGAGGGGCAGGGAGAGCTGACAGATTCCTGGACAGAAGCCACACACCCTACAGACACCTCACAGCAACAAGTTGCTGGGGCTGGGAGAGGACCCACCGGGAGGGCTATGTGTGCCTGCAGGCACGTAGGCACCGGTTGAGAGGAAAGCGCCAGAAAAGCGAGAAAAAGAGGGAAAGAAACATCCACACGGAGAAGAGAGGAGGAAAAAGGTCAAAAGAATGGGCAGCAGGGACCAGAGCAGGGAAGAGGTGGCAGAAACTAGTAAGGGACAGAGAACAAAGCAGGAGATGGGAGAGACGCTCAGAAGGAAGGATTGGAAAGGTTTAAGGGGCAGATACCCAGAATGAGGAGAGACGCAAAGGAAAAAAAGGCCCCCAAAGACTGGAAGACAAAAGACTTACACACACACACACACACACACACACCCTGCACACCAAATCTGGCAGCTTCTGGGAGATTCTGAACTCAGCTATTTAGGGATGAGCCCGAACTCCAAGGCAGGCCTCCTGACCTGCAGGTGCACAAATTCCACTGCACCCGGCACTTCTTCAGGGTCGGAGCCAAGCACCCACGAGCCAGGGCTGACTCTCAAGCCCAAAACTTCCCTCAGAGGCACCCTCACAACCACCAAAGGCTCCTCACCCAAGAAAAGGCTGCTGAGGAACAAACACACCGCTTCCCCCTCCAGCTCCTTGCAAGTCCTGAACAGTCCTGCCCAGATGAAAAGTAACTACAGCAGCACAGGGTCTCTCCTCTCAATTCTATTCCGGAAAGAGCTTCCATGGAACCAGGAAAAAGAAAGAATTATTGTCCCATTTCATAGACGAGGAAATGGACCCAGGGTAACTGTCCTACTCAAAGTCATGGAGCTAAGAAGCAGCAAAGCCGACCCTTCCACCAGCCTCTGCCATTGTGCCACGCACGTCCTGACACCTCTCACCAGAGTTCTGTCTTCCCTCACCCTCGAATGCCCCTATTCCCTTCACCTGCTGTTTAAGGGGGAAAAGCAGAGGGGGCTGTTCCCTCCTGACCTTCCTTTCACCCCACTCCAGGCCCTGGTGTCCCCATCCCAGCCTCTGAGACCTCGCTGGCAGGGCAGGAGGCAGAGCCGGAGAGGACGGGAGCGGGGAACCTCGGAGGGCCTGCGGGAGGGAGGGGCGCTCTGGCTGCCCACCTGCTAGTTAACAGCTGCCGAGATAAAAAGCGAGCAGACGTTGGCTTGGCTCCGTTCCACCTACTTACTCCACTGCAGACGGCAACAGAAAGCGTTCCTGAGCCGCGTCTGCCCAGCCCCAGAGCGTCTCTTTCAGATTCATAAACACAGACTGAACGCATTTAGGACAACAGCGAGAGCTGTCATCGCAGGGCCCAGGAGTTATATGGTCGGATCCTCTAATGATTTACGGGGCACGTTCGGAAGTCTAGGAGCGGGGGTGGCTGAGCAGGAGGGCAGAGCCAGCTGGTGCCCTGGGAGTCTCATGTGACACCGGTCCATGAGAAGTGACGCCCAGGGTGGCCTGCGAGGACCAGAGCCAAGTTCTGTCCGTGGGCTGTTCTGGGGAGATGTAGCCGTACTCTGCCTCTGATTTCAAACAGGTACTCCTGCTTCCAACATAATCCATTATAGCTCCTCAATCCACCTACTTCTCTAAACCATTTTAAAAGCTATTTAACATTTCAGTTTACACTCCCTCCTACAGGGATACGTGGAGTGGCAACTACGTGCATGAAACAATCTATCCCTTTGTCTTAAGGTTACCTTTTAAGCTCTAAGGCGCCCTCTCCTCCTGTTTTCATTTAGCACATCAGTCACAGGATTCTTTCTCCCATTGGCACTTATACACGTCTCCGCGTGAGGCCTGCGTTCTAATCGCCTCAGTCTCTCTCCACACACTAGTCCGGCCCCATTTAGTCTTGCCCGTCCAGGGAGCAGAGCAGGACTGTGCCTGCCCGGCCACCAGCCAGATGACCCCAGGCAGTGCTGGGCCCACACCACACCTGCGGGGAAAGCCAGGGCACTTTAAAGACCTGACACTCTGAGGTATTTGCCCCAAACTTGAACTCTACCTCCTCTGTGAAGCTTTCTCGTCCTTTCCAGACAAAATTAAGTGACAACACAGATAGCCTCCATTTACAGCACCTTTAACCTGGACTGTAGTCTGCCTCCTCCTGGCACAGAGGACACTGCTATTCTTGAGGGGGGGGGGGGGGGCGGGGGACACGATACTATGTGCCTCAAAGCACACAGTAAGTGCTCGGGAATGTCTGCTGAGTGGATCCAGGTGGATGGAGCAACATCAAAGCTCTTCTGCCCACTTCTGCCACCTGCAAGCCTCACAAGACCCCCGTGATAAGGCCTCATTGGGCAAAACTGGCATCATCTTCAGCTGTGGAGAGTCCGGAGCACCTGTCCTCTCTAATAGGCTTTGGTGCTTTGCCAGTCATGGAGTGCACACCTGTCGAGCTACTGGAGACAGCGACACACCTGGAAGACAGAAACACTTCCAGACCAGGGATGGACTAGAATTCACCAATGGCTACAATCTCACCAATAGAGCAGTGGTTTTCAACCTTGGCTGCACATTAGAATCACCTGGGAATCTTTTTAAAATCCTGATTTCTGGGCCTCATCCTCCGGAAATTCTGTTTCTTTGTTATGGGGTGGGGCCACAACATTAGTAACAAAGAAACAGAATTTCCGGGGGATGAGGCCCAGAAATCAGGATTTTAAAAAGATTCCCAGGTGATTCTAATGTGCAGCCAAGGTTGAGAACCACTGGTCTAGAGGGCAGTCTCGTCCATTGAGTTGGTGCTTCAGTAAACCTGGAGGTGTGAGGCCAGGCATGCGTGCATGCGCACATACACACATGGCTTCAGCAAACACTGCTGGGCTAACACGTCGGCGGGTCTTACCCGGTGCTCTGTCAAAATATGAATCTCCTTCAGTCCTCTCCAGCCATTGAGGCCATGAAGTTCATTTGCCAAACAGCCATTATGGACTCAGATTGCAGGGGAAGAAGATTGCACTGGAGGGGAGCCCATGAAAGCTCACTTAACCCACAGGGTAGTAGCAAGGCTTGTGACTCAGGCAGGGCCAGCTACATCCAAGGCTAAAGACCTTTATGGGACACCCAGGACAAGAGCTGCCTCTTTCCAGCAGAACCCCACCTCTTCCCCAAACGAACTAACTGGAGTACAACACCGTTGAGTACGATTCTCCTTTCCCCTCCTCTTCCCAACTCCATGCTCCTGACAAACCCCAAGTCCAGGTGAGCAGTGGCTGGACAAAGAGGCTCTGGAGACACCTCTTGTCCTCAGTCAGAAGGACATGGAAACGCTGCTACCTGCCAAGTGCAGCACAGTGCCTTGCATACCGCTGGCGCTCAATAAACGTGTAAAGGGAAAGCCTGCTCTTAGCTATCTGTTTTCCTATGTTCATTCACTCTCTGCGTGTCTTTCTGTGCTTCTGCCAATCTACGCCAACTTGGGAGCTAATGATATGACAAGAGGTGTGTATAAATATAGTCCCAGCAGCAAAGCAGTGAACACAGAGAGATGTGGAAATTACTCCTAATGATGGGGAGGAAAGGGAAGCTGAGCACACCCTGCACTCCAGCTTCTAAACTCAAGAGAATCAGGGGAATTCCACCAACAGGCCCTTCCCCACCCTAAGAAGTAGCCTCTTTCCATGGGCTCCCTCCCGGGGGCTGCACTCGATTCCGACAAGAAAATCCCTGAGAGGAGGGAGGTCAGGATGGAGGAGGAGGAGGGTGGGAGTAGGAGGGAGAGGAGCTCACGGCACTGGGACAGGTGGGGTAGGGGTGGAGACACAGCTAGAGGAGAGAGCTGGAAGGGCTAAGCCACTTGATTCATCTAATAGCATCACCTTGGAAGCCAAGGCAGCAAACAGGTCAGCCAGCTAATTCCACCACCTTGGGCCGCAGGGAGAGGAGACCTCTGTTACCGGCCTGGACGGGGGTAAAGCCCAGGTTCTTGCTGCCAAACACCCTCCCCCACAAGCAGGCTTGTGGGTCACCCTGAAAATCACCTTGCCTCTCTAGGTACCAAGGCCCCATCTATAAAACAAGCCCCCCTCTGCCACCAACAAAATCAAGTGACACAGTAAAACATAAAAGCTCTCTGGAAGAAGGGAAGACGGACAGACAGAGGGAGAGCCAGAACTGCCTCCTCCAGGCCACAGGTGACCCTGCCAGGCTGCCAGGGAGGTCTTTCCGCAGCATCTCTCCATCCCATCCTCTCTTCAGAGTATTAATCAGGGACAAGTCCCGGCCCCGCTGGCCACAGCCTCCGAGCCCCCTGCCCTCCAGCCACGTGCCATGTCCCCAGAACATACCCACAGTCCACCCAGCAGATGGTGCCTTGTCCTTTCACTGCCTGGGCCACAGTGGACAGTAACCTGAGATGACTTTCAGCTGCAGCCTCTGTAAAAACAACAACCAAATATTAAACATCTGTGCCCAAGGACACCAGGCCATCCTGCCATCTTCTCTTGGGGGCAGGGAAGGAAGGAAGAAAGGAGACCAGTCCAGAACCCCTGTTAAAATATCGTCCTGGTGACCAACAGTTCTGGGAGGACCGCCCAGCTCATTCATTCCAGGAACCCCTGCTCCCGCCACATTCCTGGGCCCTTCCTCATGGACAGAGAACCCCCACATAAGCCACGCCTCACCCCTCACTCCTCTGAGCAAAATAGGTAACTCCCGGGAGAGTCTCTGACTCACTACCTTTCTGGGACAAATTTTGAAAATTTTATAACCACATAATGACAATTCTGTAACTGAAGTGGGAAATGAGTTTGCCAATTCCACCCTTGTCTGTCCTGAGACCTGATGAGGGCAGGGGCCCAATCCTTCCTTCCTTTGTCCATCAAACACGCATCTAGGGGCCCTCAGTACAACCTGGCGATCAGATGAAGTTTACATGTGACACTAGTCTCCGACAGACCAATGCCAAGTGTACCCACGTCAGATGTCATAGCCCACTTCCCAGGAAATGGCAGGGGAGGAACTGGGCCTGGCTGTACCTCAGGTGTCAGCTGCAGGACCGCAAACCAGGCCTTGGGCAGGATGGAGTGGACATGAGAAAGGAAGAGTGCTTTGCTGGGCCAGGTGTCAACTCCTATGGGTCTGGGCAAAGCACCTGGACTCTATTGTAGGAGGGCAGGTTCTTGGGGACGGAGCCTCTGTGGCCAGGATTTAGCACCGCCAGCCTGCAAGGTCCCACTGCCGAGTGGCTGTGGCTAGTGTGTCACCTCCCCCTGCCGTACCTGTGAGCGCATGTGCAAGGCCTACCAGGCAGACACTGGTGGGGAGAGCAGTCTGCTGCCTTCCCCCTCCGATACGTTCCAAAGCCAAGCAGACATGGTGTCTGAATTATTTGCCTCCACAGATCTCCTTTTCTAGTGCGGAGAATGGTAGCTGTTTGTGAACACAAAGCATGCGGAGCCTTTATGGGAGTGAACAAAAAGCATCATTCTAGAACCGTGCCAGGAACCCCGCCAGGGCACCAGGAGGAGGGCGCGGCGGAGGGGGAAAGGCCATCGCTCAGCAGGCAGATGGGCTCTGGGGAGCGGGAAAGGGAAACTGGAGTAGAGGGATAGGCAGCACCCCGCCCCTAGCCCTGCGGAAAGGGAGCCCTGCCTGGAAGGACGGGAGGGGAGAAACCCAGTTACTGTGCTGTCCTGAAAGCCCACGCACAGTCACAAGTCTAGTGACAGGCCTGGGGGGGAGGCAGGAAGGTAGGAAAACCGCCCATGGCCACTGCCAACGCAGGGAGGAGCCGGCACGCGGGAAGCATGAGACCACGCTTGGGAGAGAAAATAAGACCTCTGGGCCCTGCCTCCTGCCCTGCAAGCCCCATCTGGAGACCCCATCCACCTTCCCACCCTCTAACTAACCAAAACCATTTCCTGGTGGCAGAGCCCTCCTGTCCCTGCGGAGGTAACACATCGCTTCCTCCCTCCAGCAGAAGAAACAAGCAGAGGTGGAGCAGGGACCAGCTCGACTGACCAGCTTGAACGGCATCTACCGTCTACTAGCTGCGAGGCCTCAGACAAGTCAGCCACTCTCTCCCAGCTTCAGCTCCTCCCTCATAACCTGGACCTTATCTGACAACCTGCGCTGCCTCCCTCCTGGCAGAGGAGCGAAGGGGACCGTCCTGCAGAAGGTCCTCGAGGCGTCCTTGTACGATGATGAGCTTCCGTGGCGGGACGTACCCAGAGAGGAGCCAAGCGTGCTCCCACACCGACAACCGCCAGCTCCAGGAGCACCCACGGGGTGAGCCACGCTTATCAGGGCCCTACACCCAGGCCTCAGGAGCAGCTCTGCTTCTCCCTGGCCTCAGTTTACCCCTGTTCCTGACAGCAGAGAAAGGTTAGTCACATGCTGGGCTCCCAACAACAACCTCAGAGAGCATCTGCCAGGCTGCAGAAGAGCAAGGAGCAGCGTGTGCCAGGGTGCTGGGAGAGTGCGGGCTCCAGGAGGGACACACGTCCAAACATCCATCAGCCCCAGTGTAAACGAGTGTCAAGGATGAGCTGCAGGGAGAGCTGTGCCCGGAGCTGGCCCAGCCACTGGCTACTGCTTCTCCAGGGCACGGAGAACTTGGCATCCTCAGGAGCAGAGAAAACACTTAACTGTGCTGGAATAGTATCAACAGTCTGATGTTCAAAGTCACAGCCAAGAGCCGAGCAAACCTCTCTCCATCCACTCTGCCCTCGCCAGTCCCAAGGTCAGAGGAGGCAAGCTGCTGCTCCCACCCCCCTCCCTGAAGCCGCCCTGAGTCCAGTCCAAACTCAGCCTTGTGTTCCAATCCCAGAGTAGGACAGATGGGGGCCAGGCAGGGTCAGAGCTGCCAGCCTGGGTGCATGTCCCCAAGCGTGGGGCCAACTCAGCTGGCGACGGGCCAGACCAGGCTGTTCATCAACAGCCCTGGAGAAGCATGCCTTGGCAGGGCTGGCCTGTGCCTGTCCAGGAAGTCAGAATGTCCATCCCCAGTGTCCACAGTCCTCCTCTGTCCTCCTTCACACTCATGCCCTCTCCTAAGGCAATGAGGCTTTTTCTAAGAAACACTTATAGGAAGGAAGTGAATGACCTCTCAGGGATCCCAGATCAGCAGAACTAACGCCCCTCCGGGCCTTTGCCATCTCCCGTGGAAAGCGGACAAACACGGTGTCCCTAGGACCCTCCCTGCCTGGCTGTTGGTCCTAAGGTCTCCGTCTCCCACCTCTGGCCCCTCTCATTCCCTTCCTATCGCATGCCCTCCCCAACGGGTGACCCCAGGTGGGCACTCACCGGATTTGGAGTAAAGCACCAATACATTATTCCGGGTCCTGAGAAGTTTTTTCAAGTCCTTAGGGTCAGAGATCCTCTCGATGAGCGAGGAGACCTTTGTGGAGCACAGCCATCCTGGCAGGACAACCTGCAAATGAAGCAGACAAGGACGGTGAGCCCCGGGTCCCGGCCAGGCCTGAGGAAGAACAGGTGCCCATAGACCTGCTTCCTACAGCTTATCTCACTTCAGAGGGATGAGGGCACACCAACCCTTCTCAGGAGACTAGAGATGCCCTTCACCTCATCCCCTCGCCAAGTCACCACACACCCCAAGACACTTCCCCGCCCACTCTCAGTCTCCACATCACTCTCTTCTCCATGCACTTTCATAACGCTGCACGGACTGCATACAACACAAGCATGTGCATGGACGTACCTGCCACCCCCTCAATCAAGACCTCTCTGGGAGGCCAGTGTCTACATGCTACACTGCATCACACACTGGAGCAATGCGAAGACTCCATCCCACTCAGAAGCATCGAAACACAAAATCCACAGAGAAATAAGATCACCTCTGAGGTTCAGGATGGGAATGGATGGTGAGGGTGTTTCTGCTTGCCCTACTCAGCCAATGATCGCAGGAAACAAGCCAACAAAAATGAGCGGATTGTCCCCAAGAAGCCTGCAAACCTTGGGTTACTGGAGATACCAGGCACCTCCACAGGCACGTGTAAGATGAAAGCAGTGTGTGTGTGTGTGTGTGTGTGTGTGTGTGTGTGTGTGTGTTAAATACATGAATAAGGAGAAGTCACATAGCAGATCCCCTCACCCAGCCCACAAAGCTGGCCAACAGCCCCTTGCCTGGTTGGCAGAAGGCATAGGGGTTACTACATGCCCACTAAAATAAGGAAAGCTCTGCGGGGAGACACCAGGCAGAGGGTGGGAGTGTGGCCCTGAGAGAAAAGAGGAGATTAGAGAAGTCTATGAACTAAACCTTGAGATCAACCATCCGCATGAGCCCCATCCCCTAGCACCCCCTTTTCCAGAATGCTGCCAGTCTTGTTCCCCCAGGCAGGAGATTAGAGAATTTTTCTCTGGGTAAACTGAGAAGCCCAAGAAAAACAATCTAAAGACAGTGACTTGGAGATCCTGCCATGGAACAGCTGAATTCCCACTCCAATTCCTACTGTGAGGTGCTCTCAGTAAACAAGTGCCCTCCACCCCTCCCCACACTCAGTCTCTGATCATGTGATAGTTAGTGCCTTGCTCTTCAATACACACAGATAACGAGGTTCACCAGATATCTGAGGAAAGCCCTTAACATGAAAGGGACGAAAACAAACCAATGGAAAGATGAAACTAAAACTAAAAACAGCCAAATTAAAGCACAAACAGCCACATTAAAGGAACTCCAGAAACAGAAGAAAATAGACAAGAAATTATCAAAGAAATAATTTGAGAAAATACCCCAGAATTGAAGGATGCAAGCTTTTCAGTTGAGAGGGCTCAGCATCAAGAATAAAATTAACTCTCACCAAAATACATCTGTGCAAACATGCAGAACACTCCTGACAAAGAGCAGATGTGTGTTTCAAAGAAAAAAACACACACCACATATAAAAGACCAGGAGTCAGAACTGGCATAAGGCTGGTCATCAGCACACTGGAAGGCAACGAAGCATCGCCTTTGCGATTATCAGGCAATGTGGTTTCCAACTGGAATTCTATCACCAGCCAAACTGTCAATGGTGAATACAAATTTACTCAGACTTTAGATCTCAGATGTGCACGATTTACCACCAATGCACTCTTTCTCAGGAAGCTACTAGAACTCATGCTCTACCAAAACAAGATGTAAATAAAAAATGACAAAGACATGGAATCTGGGAAACAAAGGATCCAAGAGAGGAAAGAGGCAAGAAGAACTACCATACTGAGGGTAAAGAGAAGTCCGGGACAACTGTCCAACAGCCGACAGAGCAACCAGCCCAGAATGGAGCAAGGACAGAGAAATATGGAGGAATGTGGTCAATAAAAAGAGGCAACTGTAGATTACCTGATACGCTTAATCATATTGATCAGGGAAACTGTCTGACCAAAGTTACACAGCTAATGAAAAGCAGGGCCAGGACCCGAACCCCAGTCTCTCTCTTTGATCCCATGCCCTCTCAGTCCACTGCCTCTTTGCAGCCAGAAGTCTTGAGTTGAGTCTGAGCTCTGCCACTTAATAGCTAAGATGGCTAAGCAGCATCCCTCAACCTTCCAGAGGCTTAATGCCTCTCACATCTGACATGGAGATAATAACACCGCCCTCATGGGACTGCTGGAAGGATAAAATGGGATAACTTATCGAACATACTTTATAAATCATAAAGCACTCCAATAGCATCGTTACCATAATACGTAATACAAATTTCTATCTCAGCAGAACAAAAGACAGAAATGTAGCCACATTCTAGTGTTTCTAAATATAATCTGCCATTAGGTTTCAAGGTTCCTTCTCCCCAGGGTGAAACCATCCAGGAGGAGGAGTTGAGGAATGATCTCTCCCTCATTCTGCCCGGCCAGAGCTGGGGACAAGGCCTACAGACCACTGCTCTTAGGCAGCCCACCTTGAGAGCTCACCAAAAGGTTAATTCCACTTTATTGTTAAGTGTTATTTAGTTTACTGCTCCCAGAGAACGAATGGACTTCAGACTAAAGAGTTCATAGCTCAATGCACATGACTAAAGAAAAAAAGAAAAAAAAAATCTGTTGGAAAAACACACTGACTCTGCTCTGGTTTTAATCCTCAGATAATCTGCAGTGAAGAAAAACAACTACCTTTGCCCAGTAGCCTGGGGATTCTGACCTGTGGACCAGCCCTCCTGAAACTGGCAGGCATCTGTGCTTCTGGAACTGGAGAGAAGGAAAGGGGGGGGGAGGGGCGCGGGACAGCCCAGTGCCCGCCTGCCCAGGCAGCACAGTGGCGTAGCTGGGTGCAGCGACAGCCGAGTCTACAACAGAAACCACAAGAGCCGACCCACAGCTTCCTTCCTATAAAACTCAGAGAGTCCCTCAGGTCATCTAAACATCAGCCACCCCCAGAGTAAACAAACCACGGCCCAGGCCCAGCCAGCCACCAAAACCTCTGACCCAGTGCTCACCCTCACACAGCAGAGAGCTTAAGCTCAATGAGAGACTCACCGAGCAAATTGCCTCTGCTCGAACACCATCACCGGGCATGACACTGGGGCTTACACGGCACTGCCCATAGCAGGTCTTCATGGAGGGTCTGCCTCCTCCCCACCTCCCCATCCCTACCCCAGCCCCTAGACTAGAGGTAATTCTGGAGGACAGGGGCCAGAACAGCACCTGGCCCCTTGCAAGCCACAGGAACTGTTCGTCCAGCATAATAAACATGACAGGCACACTGGTTATCATGCTGGCCTCTGCAGAGATCACCGCTAGGAGCACATTACACAGTGAGTCCATGGCAGCTCTCGGGAGACCTGGAAGGGACCGCTGACACCAGGCCGACCACAGCACAGCCAGTGAGGGCCTGGGTGGGAGCACGGCGGGCGGCGGGAGAGGGCGGGTGGGGCCAGGCTGTGGGTCTTGAAAGCCTGGCTCCTAGAGAACTGCATTTGGCCATGACCTCAGACTGGGCAGCCACTAGGAAGCTGGAGGTGGAGGGACCCGCTGGGTGGCTGCCCAAGTGGAAAGAAATGGGTCAATCCAAGAGTCTTGGGGAAAAACAACAGAACTCAATGACTATTCCTATGTAAGCAAGGAAGAGAGAAGAGGCTAAAATGACCCCAAGGATTCTGGGCTAGGAGCCGAACAACAGCCAAAAATGGAAGAATTGAGAAGCAGCAGGGGCTTTTGTCTGTCGGATGCTGGATGCCGAGGAAGGTGATAATGAGCTCAGGCATGGACATGTGGACAGTAAGGCACCCCATTCAGGCTGGGGAGTCAGTCTGGGGTCGAGGCTCAGCGGGAGAAGCCCAGAGGAAGGACAGGAGGACAGTCAGAAGGAAAAGGTGAGAAGTGCTCTGTCAACACAGACCAAAGAGGAGACACACAGAAAGGCGGTGATTGATCCGCAGGCACAGTCCACGGCAGAGTCCCAGGACAATCTGAGATGATCTCAGTAGCTGAGTGGGAAGCGAGTGCTTTAAAGAGACAGCACGCCCAGCGCAGGAGCTGGGTGACCCTGCAGGGTCGGGAGGATGGGCTGTCTCCGTTGCCCATGTGTGGGCACAGGAGAGGCAGTGTCTGGAGATTTGGGAGTGACAGGGGAACACAGGCCTATAGCCAGTTCCAGGGGAGACCTGCGAGGCTTCCTTAGCATCTCTGAGATTGGGGAGGATGTGTCTGCCTCAGACCCGCACCTTAGCAGGCAAACCACAGGGACAGCCAGGAGGGCTGCCCTTGCTCCCTCCCCTAAGCCCCAGGGGATGCTGCTCCAGCCACTTAACATTCTCCTTCTCCTCCCCTTCAGTCTATTTTAACCTTTGCAATGTGCACGCTCCCTTCTTTCCTTAAGATGCAGCTCCAGTGAACGCTGGATCACCTCCCAGGGCCATCCTGCAGATTTCTTAAGCCATGACCCACAAACCTTGATAACGACAGTAACTACGGCAACAATAACAGTGTTAATGATGCACAGACCCTCTGCTTGGTCAGGCCCCCAGGGGAGAGAGCAGCGCCAGCCTCCCAACTGCTCCTGGGCTCGGCGGGCTCTTTATGGTCTAAGTCATTCCCTTTAGAAGTAGAAGGGAGAAAAAATCCCCTCTGTTCACCATGCAAACTCCTAATGGGCTGCAATAATTGCTTTCTTTCTGCTCCTCGACCCACAGCTTTAACAGGATTTATATCAGGGCTGGGCTGCCCGTGGGCTGGGCTGAGACCCATAAGCCATTCTCCCGGTGCGGAGCAAAGCAAAGCTTGGGAAGGATGGCCACCTTTTGCTGCTGCTGGGGATACAGGCCCCCAAAGGTCCCACTGGCATCAGAGAGCCAGTGCCCACCCATCAGAGTGCCCCCAGTGTCTGTCACAGTAGCACCTCGCTTAGAACACCAGGCCTCCATCCTCAAGCCCCTTTCCCCCAGCAGAGTACAAGGCCCTCTTCAGAGCCAGCAGCCCCTGGGTCTCTGTTGCATGAGT